CTACCAGCCTCAAACGGAATCAAGTTGTAAATGCACCCTTAGAAAAGGAGTGTCTTTGCAAGGACTGATCTCCTACCTCTGTCACTCCTTCCTAAGGACAGTTGCCTCGGCAAGCCCCGTGGCCAGTGGTAAAGAGAAAGTGCACATACCTTTCATTTGGATGAGTAAGAAGGAAGAAATACTGGAAACAAGAGAAACTGTACTTCCTTGTTTCCTTTGTTTTGCTGAGAAACTGTAGAGTCCTCTGGGGAGAAAGACACAAGGCCTCCAAGGCGTTCCTACAATTGAACGCTTTTTAAATAATGGCTGAGAGGAGGAGAGGTGGGAAGCTGGAGAGGTGGGGGGCTGTTTAGCCATGTCAACTCTCTCTTCCACCGAGAGCCTATTCTAAAATCATACGACTTCAGGGAATGATTGCATCCGCCATAAGCAGTGAATCTCGAGCTTTAGTTTTGACTCTACTTTTGAGTCTCATATGTTGACTTCAAATGTTCAACTAATATTAACACCAATTGCCCCCTGGCTATATTTATATTTCAGTGCAAATAACACACACACCCCCACATAGACACACACACACACACAGTACATAGAGAGTATAGTTTATATTATATTATTATATAATTTATAATTATATTAATACTTTATCATTGTAAATTATATATTGTTTCTATATTATCACATTTATTTATATTGTTTACATTATATAACATATATTATTTATATAATTTATATATAACATATTATATATAATTTATATATAACATTATATATAATTTATATAATACATAATTTATATCATATATAATTTATATAAGATATATTATTTACATTATAATCTTCATGTAATATATTGCATATTATCTATACATTCTTATTTATATAGTATATATATCAAGTACATATATAGGTTCTTGAAAAGAACAAGGAGAGGAAAAAAAATCTTCACTTACAAGAGCCTGCAACCCATCTGGCAATGCTACAAAACCTTAAGGTTGTGCCAGGGTTAATTATCTTTGATTTAAACCTCACACCCATTAAGCAACTGCTATATTTTTGAGGTTACACACAGTAAATTTTGCGTATCAAAATTTAAAAATATATATATATTTAAGCTAAAATCCACTTAGGAAAAAACTGGGTTGTCCCAAGAGAAGACTAGATCATGTTTATAAGTTGTGCCTAAGATATATATATTAATCTCTAAATAACAGCCCCCTCACCTGCTGTGAGGGCTCAGCTATTACGCTGTGAGTCATTAACCACTTCACTGGCAGGTTCATACCCACCGCGTTCATTGGTGAATTAGAGGGTAGAAACCTCCATTTCGTGCCTAATTACTTTTGCTACAAAGAGCAAGGAGATGAAACAAAATCTTCAGTTAGAAGAGCTTGTAACCCATCCGGCAATGATACAATTCCTTGGCGTGGTGCCAGAATTAAGTATATCTCATCTGAACTTTATATCCGCTAAGCAACGGCTACATTTTTGAGATCGCACAGGAAATTTTGCATATAAAAAATGTGCCATCTTGCCATTTGAGGATTGCCAATCCCATCTTGCTAATTAAGGATTGAAAAACCTCAAAGGGGCTAAAAATCCTACCAGGCTTTTCCACAATCACACCTTACAGATATACATTCTTTGACCCACGTTTGGCTTTGTTCTTATACACCCGACAGGAAAAGGGACCCCTCCCTGATTTTACCACACAAGATGAACACAGAAAGAACAAACACATCAAGGGCCAGATGCCAAGACAGGAATCCTCTAAAAACCAGATGGAGGAAAGTCTTTTAAAGAATAAGGATTTTCATTAACCCAAAGTCCCAACTGAAAACTTAAAAAAAAAAAAAAAAATTAAAGTGCTAAGAAAGAATAGTGAATCAGAGGATTGAAAATTATTGCTTCCTCTTATTTCTTCAATGTAAGAAGGAAAATAAATCATACAAAATAATTATCCTGTTTATTTCCAAGTTAATCCTACAAAATCTATTAGCTATTCAAACTAATGGTTTAACTGGCAACCCTTCAGAAGAACTTTACAACATGTTCTCAAAAAGATAAAAATTTAATCATGAAAGATGGAGTATTTTTTAAAGTTAATAATACCTCACAAATTTGCTACCCCCGAATTTATTGCATTTTTTTAAGTAGGCTCCACGCCCAGCATGGGGCTTAAACTCGTGACCCCAAGATCAAGAGTTGCATCTCCACAGACTGAACCAGCCAGGCACACCCCTTTATTGCAATTTCAACATGACTTCTGCTAAGAAGATATTATTTCTTTCTCTTTAGATGTCCTTAGGTTTTCTGGAGAATAAATTGAATGTAATTTAAAATTGGTTGCTTTTTCAAATGAAGGATTCACATACTAAAACATTCCTCAGTTCACTTACTAATTCCTGGAGAGTAAAAATCGTTATGTTTGTGAGTTGTATTAACTTATTTGATCAGTTTGTAGCTAGCTGTATATTAATGTACTTTATAAGTAACACAGCTCATAAGCTTATTTACTGTAGTATCGTTCATTATTGCAAAATATTGGAAAACCCATTTATAGGCAAGCGGTTGAATAAACCATGGTATTTCCATGTGCACCACAAGCATGTAATAAAAAGCATCTGTGAGAAAAGAGTAAGGAAGATCTCTACGCAGTGATAGGGAGTGATTTACAGACTATATTATTCAATGAAAATAACAGAGTACAACAGAGTATTTACGCTCCAGGTAAGAAAGTACACTACCCATGCTATCCCAGCATAGTGCACAAGCATATGAGACAATTTGTTACTTGTAGCCAAATAATTTCAATCAATTCAATATGACGCAGGGCGTGGCTTCTGAAATAATCAAAACGTCACCAGCTCTGAGAGTCATGAGAGGGGCTGCAGTAGGAAAGGCTCCAGCTTTATCTGGCTAAATGTGTTTGCCTCCTCAGCAGTTACTGAACAAGCTTTCATGGGTTTATTAACTGACTGATGAAAAATCCAATTGAGAATAATTCTTATTGTCTGGGTACCTATTGCGGCAAGTTCACTGTGGCTGCTCTTTGATTAAGGTGCGGTCCCACAATGAACCGGTAATGAGTTGTCCTTTTGGAAAGGCAGACTTCCTAGTGGGAATCACCCAGGAGGTCCAGTGAGTGCACGGAGCTGACAACCTGAGCCAGGAGCGGTGGCTCCATCTCTGGAGGTGTCCAGGGGGTATCCATCATTCACTCAGCATGCGTTCATTAAATACCTGTTGTGCACCAGGAACTGTGTGAGCGATAACAACACAATTAAGACATGGTGCCTCTCTAGAGAGCTCGTAAGTCTAGAAGCAGATATGTAATCAAATAAATACTACATGAGCATCACAATTGCTCAGGACTCTGCCGGGGCCAGGGGAGGGAGTGGAGAGACTGATGGCTTTCCCTGGGAAGGGAGGTATCAAGGAGGGCTCCCGGGAAGAGGTGGCAATTGAGTTAATCTTAAAAAATGAACATGAAAGGGGCGCCTGGGTGGCTCAGTCAGTTGGGCGCCTGGCTGCCTTCGGCTCAGGTCATGATCCAAGTGTCCTGGGATGGAGCCCCGAGTAGGGCTCTCTGCTCAGCGGGGAGTCTGCTTCTCTCTCTCCCTCTGCTGCTCCCCCTGCTCATGCTCTCTCTATCAAATAAATAAAATCTTTTGGAAAAAAAAAGAAAAAGATGAACAGGGAACACCAGGCAGAGAGGGAGTGGAAAGGGCATTCTAGGTGGATGGAGCTGTTCTGAGCAGGAGCTGAATGTAGCAGAAGTCTACATCTCTCGGAAGGGTCTCGTGGGAGGGGGAGCGCTTGTCCAGGCTATGATAAGCCTGAAACCACGAGCGACCTGCAGTAGCATCTGCCTATTTTTTTTTTAAAGATTTTATTTATTTATTTGAGAGAGAGAGAATGAGAGAGAGCTCATGAGAGGGGGGAGGGTCAGAGGGAGAAGCAGACTCCCTGCCGAGCAGGGAGCCCGATGCGGGACTCGATCCCAGGACCCTGGGATCATGACCTCAGCCGAAGGCAGACGCTTAACGACTGAGCCACCAAGGTGCCCCAAAATAGGCATCTTTGACCCAGCAATTACTCTGGGGAATTTTCTTTAAGGAAAGATCAAGCTCTTTGCAAAAATTTAGCATCTTGTATTAATCGCTGGATTATAGAGTGGCTAGGTTGAGAGAGTACAAATTTAACAACTTCAGGGGCGCCTGGGTGGCTCAGTCAGTTAAGCAACCGACTCTTGGTTTTGTTCTGCTCAGGTCGTGATCTCAGTGTCGTGAGATCAAGCCCTGTGCCGAGCCCTTCATCGGGCTCTGCACTCATCGTGGAGTCTGCTTGAGATTCCCTCCACCTCCCCCTCCCTCTGCCTCTGCCTCTGCTCGCTCTCTTTCTAAAATAAATAAAATCTTTTTTAAAAATTTAACAACTTTGTTACCAAACAAAATTATGTAATACAAGGTAGCCATTAAAATGATACAGTGGAAATGTATTTGTTGGCAGGAAGAAAGACACACTGTGATTGTTAAGAAAGCACATTTCACATTAGAATCTAGAGGGTATTTCTTTTTTCCTAGAAACAATTTTGGTAAATCACATTTTTCTAGGAGCTTAACCATTTCTTCCAAGTTTTCAAAGTTATTGACATAAATTTGTTCAAAACATCATTATGTTTTCTTTTATGTCAGAAATATCTGTGGTTGTCTCCCTTTTTATTCCTAATGTTATGTGTGCTTTCTCTCTTAGACATTTCTCATCCCGTCAAGGAATAGCTTTCTTTTTTCTTTCTTTCTCTCTTTCCTTTTTTTCTTCTTCTTTTCTTCCTTCCCTCCTTCCTTCTTTTCTTTCTAAATTCGTTTGTCCCTTCCTTTCTTCTTTCTTTTCGTTCATTCATTCATTTCATTCTTATATTTTTGTTTCTATTTCATGCGTTCTATTTTGGGTATGTTTTGTGTTATTCTTCTATTGTCTTAAGATGTATGCTTAGCTCATTAGTTTTCATTCCTTTTTTTTTTTTTTTTGTCTAATATAAGCATTTGTAGATATAAATCTTGTTAGGTCTACTTCTGCCAGCTTGATCTATTTCTTACCTTCTTCTCTCCTTTTATCATATTTCTTTTGAGTCCTATGTGTAATTTGATCTCTTTTCTCAAAGAAGAAATGTTTGCTAAATTTTTTAATCCATGCTGAAGTTTTTTCATATTTTCTTCTGCTTATGGTATACTTCTTCTCCCATGTGTTCTTTATCAGTTATCCTCCAATGTTTCTGTGGAGGTTCCATGCTGATCTTTTCTGATTATCTGGAGTCTTTGTGTGGCTGCCATACTTTCTGAGAGAGCTATTTGATGAAGGATAATAGGAAGAGGGACTGAGGGACTGAGGAGATGAACCCGGGGTGGGGGGTTGAGGGGGGAGCAGAATAGGGAGAGGTGTGCTGACTTGGAAATTTTCCCACCAACCCCCTGCTCTGGGCATAAGGCTCTGTATGTGCTCCTGGCTTACAATTAAGTTTGGAATGCCCCTGGTCCTGTCCTGATCAAGGTTGGCGTGTGCAGGGCTGACTGCCATCCACCCTGTTTGTACTTCCCTACCATTCCAGTAGCAAAGTAGCTTGTCTGTTCATGTACCCATTCTGTTCCATTTTCTCTGTCACTGCATGATGTCTCTCAGGCCACAGGGACGCTCAGGAAGCCCATCTGAGGTTTGCAATCCCAAGGGTTTCCAGTTTCCCTCAGGGTGCTCTAGGCAATATGGAAGACTGTGTATTGTGAATGATCCACAGAACCATATGTTTGCTCTCTGATGTCTTTCACAACTGGGTCCAAATTTGCCTTATTTAGCAGTAATTATTTATGGATTGTGGTTTTCTGATTGTGCTCTGTTTTCTAGGTGCACAGAATAATGGATCTTCATCTCTGTTTAATACCCCCCATATCTACCAGGCCAGCTTCAGACTCAAACTTGGTTTCTCTGCCTTTGGTCCTTTACATCTCCACATAGCATGGCCATAGTCACATCCTCCTAACATGGGTCCCATTGTGTCACTTTCCTCTTTTAACACCTTGGTGATGCTTTGTGATCCTCAGTATGTATTTCAGGCCTTCTATGATGTGATCTAAGTCTCCTTTCCTTCCATCAATCTGACTCCCATTAGCCATTCCTAAATGCCAGGAAGGGCCCCACCTCCAGGACCCACTTACGGTTTTCTCACAGTCCCATTGCTCGATTAGGATAAGCACCCCTGCTTCTGTGTTTCCAAGCTTATATTTCTAGTTAGTTCTATACACACGTCTGTCTCCTCCTGGATCTATAAGGCCTCTCTGTTCTACGATACGTATCTCAGCAACTAGCACACTGGGGCTCAAGACATACCCACTAACAGAAAAGCGTAATGCCACATTTACCACTGGAAATAATAATTTGGGGATCTGTTTCCTGTGATTCTGAGCAATATTAAGCACTTTTCCAGGATCTCATCCACTCCCCTAACCCTACCTGTATTCCACCTTGCCTGGTTAAATTGGAACATAAGATTCCTGCCTTGCATAGGAAAAGTGAATCACCCAATAGTCCCTCCCCATGAGTCTTAGACACGCAATGTGTCCTCTCCTTTTACTACTGCCACAGCCTAAACCAGTATAGCGTTGATCTCAAATTTGTGTTCAGTATAGCGTTGATCTCAAATTTGTGTTAAAAAAACAAAAACAAAACACAAGCCCAAACCAAAAGACAACAGATTCTTGTGTGTGTTTGTGTATAAGGAAATGTCATTAAGAACAGTAGGTATCTCTGGTGTTTTGTCTTACCCTTTATTATTCCCTACACTGGACCATTTCCTAGGATAAACATATATTTTACAATTTTTAAAAGTAGTAATAGGTATTTTAAAAGGTCTCAGAATAAACGCAGTTCCTATAGTAGGTGCAAAATAAATATGTCCAGCAGATGGCGCAAAACCTTAATCCACAATGAAAACATCTTTACCACTTCAAGAATGCCATTGTGGAGGGCATATTTCTTAGTGACCAAGGATCAGTCAAAGTGGATACTGGCTCCAGAATTTTCATGTCCATTAAATATAATTTGTTTGATCTCTTCTGCAGCTATAGGTGAATCATTTCATAGGTAAGTGAGGGGCATCTGAGAAGAGCATGTGTGGGACCTACGGAGTCTGCAGAGCAAGACCATGGGTGTAGAAGATCCTTGAGGAACGAACAAGTGAGATGTCAGTGTGATGTCTCACCTGGAAAGGGCTTTGGAGATCATGTAGCCCATCAGTTCTCAAACATCGTTTTGAGATTTTTCTCTCAATCAACCCCAACATGTGAAACCAACAAAACTGAAGCTATCTTAATGAAAGGGAGTTTGGGGACAAGAGCCATGCTGAGCCTTCCTTTGCCTGAGTCCTCCCATCCCCCACCTACACCCCCATCCCTACCCCTGTTAGTGGCTGACATAATCAAGAATTGGCTATATTTCATCAACAGCTACAGAATCCATAAAATACTTTCAAGAAGCCCAGAGAAAATCACTAATGCAGGGCCATACTTTCAAGTTACTAGTGAGAAAAAGGAATGCTCAGAGGAGACGACTTTCCAACTAGAAATGGTTAAAATAGGAGTGCCTGGGTGGCTCAGTTGCTTAAGCGTCTGCCTTCAGCTCAGGTCATGATCCCAAGGGTTCTGGGATTGAGTCCTGAATTGGGCTCCTTGCTCAGTGGGGAGTCTGCTTCTCCCTCCCCCCACCACTCCTGCATGTGCTCTCTCTCTCTTTCAAAAAATCAAATAAAATCCTAAAAAAATATATATACAATTCTTGATCTCAGCTCAGGTCTTGATCTCAGGGTTGTGAGTTTGAGCCCTGCCTTGGGCTCTGCACTCGGTGCGGAGCCTACTGGAAGAAAGAAAGAAAAAGAAAGAAAGGAAGGAAGGAAGGAAGGAAGGAAGGAAAAAGAAAGAAAGAAAGAAAGAAAGAAAGAAAGAAAGAAAGAAAGAAAGAAAGAAAGAAAGAAAGAAAGAGAAAAAATATACACAAAGAAAAAAATCATTAATTGCTTTAGAAGGAAAAAATCAATAAGGACACTCAAATAGCATCAGCAAATTAAGCACTAATATTTTGCACAAATTTAACATCTGCATTTAGAATTCATTTTAAATTAACTTTCTGATATTTTAAACTTTGGATTCACTTAAATCCTTTCTATGGCTGCACATGGTTTATGAAAACCACAGGAACAGAGCATTTTAGCTAAAGCTAGCTTTCATGAGTAATATGAGCATATTCGTGAGTTATATTTATATCAGTAAAGTTTATTTCTATCAATAAAGTATCCTTAGGCTATACTTCCTGTATAATCTATAATTTCTTTAAAATTTTATTTATTTAAGTAATCTCTACGCCCAACATGGGGCTCGAACTCACAACCCCAGGATCAAGAGTCGCACGCTCTTCTGACTGAGCCAGCCCGGCACCTCTATAATCTGTAATTTTTAAATGCAATTGTAAGCCAAAGCAAATAATGATTTGATATCATGAAGCTAGTAATTTTAGAATTTTGACCATTCCCTAAAAGTCTATGTTAATAGTGTTTGCGAAGTAGACTCAACAACCTATTTAAATGCACTTACCTTAAGCTTCTTTTCAATACAAGTCCAAATTTAACTTTCTTACTCAAATCATTCTTAGGAAGTATTTTTTGTTTTGTTTTGTTTTGTTTTAAATGGCCATGTCTGCATGAAGCATTGCCTGTTTTTCCAAGAGCTGCTTACCTGACACCCTATTATAGTTCTGGTCCACAGTAGGTGTGTGTGGATTAAAAGCTTTCAAATGAGGCTTGTTGACTTATAATAGTATCTTAACCGTGTCCTAAATTAAAAGGTAAAAGAAAATCCCAAAGTAAATGAGGGTTGGCAGTAAACAGAGTGGGTTTTAAGTTCTGGCTCCTGCCTCTGCTAGTGCTGTGGCCTTAAGCCTTCCTTCCCCCATGTGTTAAAATCTGAACAATTCGGCAGACAAGATGTTGGCAGAAGAAAAAGGATACATTCATAGACTACATAGTCAAAAGAATATATTCTCAAATGTAATTTTATAAATACATTCTTCTTATAAATAAGAAGATGCAAAAAAAAAAAATCTGAACAATTCCACCGACTTGAGTGGGTTACTAAGCTACCATCTGTCGGTTGCCAATTCACCTTGTTTCTCACTGTGTGAGGTTAGGACCGGACTCTGCAGTCTTTGCCAGCTCTGCCAGCAGGGGGCGCCGAGGGTCGCGGGAAGGCTGCAGTGGGGACCAGGGGCTTGCCTCCTCCTCTCTGCTTCCTGCTCTACCAGCATCACCCTGGCAATGACTCTTCCTCGGGTTGGTGGCTGTTGGATTCCAGTTCTTGGGATATTCCCCCTGGTGTCCTAGACCCAGCCTGGCGTGTCCCCTGAGAATACCAGCACCTGCTGGCCGGGGCCCCCTCCTCCAGGTCTGGGTCCCCGCTCTGCAGGCCCTTTCTCTGAGCTTCAGAGGCAGCACCACCTGCCTCCAGGTTCTACATAACCTCGCCTCCTCCCTTTGTTGTCCCTGGCCCAGGAGTGCTAGCTATGCGTTGCCGTTTGTTTGTTTTTTTCTTGGTCTTATCTTACTGTTTCTCTGTACCTGTTCAGCTCCTTATATGCCAATTTTAAAAAATAATATGTTCTTTCAGTCCAAAAAAAGCAGAGCCGGTTTCTGTTTTCCAGAATGAACCTGACTGTTGGCAGCAGGCTCGCAGGAAATAGACTCTCAAGGTGGCCTTGGACGCAGCGCTGACAGCACCATTAATCAGGTTAATTACAATGAGGTACCTACTGAATGAAGGTGCCTTCAGGGACCCAAGCTCTGCTGTGTTTGACCACTGTCACTGGAAGGATGTGGGGTGGCTGGCTACTTCTGAGAGCGCTGGAAGCCTACAGGAAGAAAATGACCAGCTCGAGTCGTAGTCAGAGAACCAGAGAACTTCGAAGGCACGTCTCTATATTTTTTTTTTTTAAGATTTTACCCATTTATTAGAGAGTGAGAGAGAAAGCACAGGCAGGGGGAACAGCAGAGGGAGAGGGAGAAGCAGGCTCCCCGCTGAGCAGGGAGCCCGATGTGGGGCTCCATCCCAGGACCCTGGGATCATGACCTGAGCGAGTGGAAGGCAGACGCGTAACCTACTGAATTACCCAGGCGCCCCAGTCCCTCTGGTTTAAGATGGAAAATATTGGCTGAAACAAGACATTAAGTCTTTTGGGACAACTTATGTTTTCTGTTTGTGCTTATTGAAATGTTTAACAGATAAACTTTAAGACTTGGCTGTTACCAAGTTTGAATGAAAAAAATGGTTTGAAAGAAAATAATTCTTGTAATTTTTAAATTTAGCTTATTTAATCACACATTTGTAGAAAAGCTGAAATGACAAGAAAAATATTTTTTTTTCCTGAATCCTTAAGAAGTAAGTTCACCACTTGATGTGTATTAATTTTCCCAATTTAACCTACCTGTCAAAGTGGGAAAATTAACATTGATACATTTCTAGTATCTAACCCTCAGACTTCATTCCAATGTTTCCAGTTGTCCCAATAATGTTCTTTATAGCGAAAGGATTCAGTTCTGAATTACGTGTTACACTTTGTTGTCCTGTGTCTTTAACTTCCTTCAGTCTAAGATGGTCCTCTATCTTTTCTTTACTTCCATGACCTTGAGGCTTTCGAAGACTAGTTTGTGGCCTGTCCCTTAGTTCGGGTTTGTCCGCTATTTCCTCATGATTAGATTCATGTGATGTCGATTTGGCAAGGATCAGGATTTGACATGTCCCCATCATTCCTTGAGCATGTCCTTGTCTTTTGGTACAAAAAGATGTTCCATCTCCAATTGTCCCTTTCCTGTCAAAGCCCTGAGATCAGCCATTTCTCTGAGGAGCCCTGGTTCATACAGCAGACCATGGAGAAGCCAACATCTGGGCTGTGCTCACTGTTAGTAGGATGTTGCTGTGCGCAGGCCCCCTTAGTTGAGAAGGTAGGGTTGATGTTGACATGTATATCTATATCCATATCTGTATCTATATATCCGTATCTCTTCACATAGAAAGTATGACATGTCTATACATATTTACATCTCTGTGTATGACTCTATCATACTATGAGGACTGTTCACATCGGTACCTCCGTTTCCAATCCAATGACCAAAGGTTCATTCCAGATCTCTCTTTTTGAATTTTTGCTATGCTCTTCTCCAGTGGTGAGAAACCTGGGTCCTACTATCATTCGCGTATTTTTGTATTTGATTCATTCGCCTGTGGTAACCAAGCTCCTATTGCTGCTCTCGCCCACCCCATGTGATGCCCTCCTCACCATCCTCAGGCTCTGATACCTCATGCTGGGTCACTGCCCTGGCCTGGGGGAGTCCTCTTCACCCCACTAGGACTTGAACTCCCCATTCTTACCTTGTTTGGGCTCTGACTCTCCATGTCATAAGCCCCTCCCTGCACTGTGGGGTTATCCTACTCACTTCCTTGGGCTCTGCCATCTTGCACCAAGCTGCTTCCCATGGTGTAGACTCCCCCTTTGCTCACCCAAGCTCTTCCACCCACTTCAGGTCTCCACAGCTCCCCCTTGGCTCCCCGTGGTGGAGAGGCTTGCCTTGCTCTCACCTTAAGGACCAACCTGCTTATGAAAGGAGGAGAAGAGGAAAAGCCCAACCAATTCCTAGATATGTGTGTTGTAGAGAATATCTTCGCTGAATGTTGCCGGATTCCAGAGAAGAGCTGGCTGGTCTCGAATGCTGATTCCTGATTCTCTGTGTGGGGGAGGCAGTTCTATTTACTCCCAAATCCCACATAAGGCTTTGCTTTGGACATATTAATCCTGCTAGAGTTTGGATGGAAACAAAATAACATCTGTCGGAGCAAAGAGGAAAAGTAATCAAGAAGACTTCCCTCTTCAATCTCATCTCTTTTTCCTTCTTCCCTCATTCCTCAGAATAAATTGCTGGGCAGCTTGACCCCAGAACTCTAAATTACATACGATCTCATGTCTTCAAGACCAAAGCATTTGTTCTCTCACTTAGACTCAGTGAGGACAAGTCACTGAGTGGGTTTGAACAGGAAAAAGGCAGAAGACTGTGAGGGAAAACTTTTCATTTCTAATTACTGAAAGACGCATGACCACGTGGTCCACCTTGTTAACTTTTTTCTAGGGTGAACGGCATAAGTCAGACTGGGTACACTGGATGGGTCAGAGAAATTGTTTTATGGTTGGGGTGCTAATAGATAGGCTGGTTCATCGGTTAATAAAGTTTTTACACCATTTACACAAATCTGCCTCAGTTTCGCTCCCTGACTTATGGCGATCACCGTAATCAAGCAATAATTACTCCATTTTATCCTAAGTATAAGTATGATATAATAAAAAGTAATGCCTATCTGGGATCACCGGCTTCCTCCGTGTAAGAAAAAAAATGTACATTATTCGAAGTTCTTTTTCCTACTTAGAGGAAGGACTCTTAACCAAGTATTTGGGCATTTGATAAACACTTTCAGTGCTGTTTAATGACCACAGAAGCTAAGATGTAACCAGATTTTGATTTTCAACAGATGGCCTGGAGAGCCACGCCTAGGTGCTCCTCTGGTGGAATCACGCAGTGTTGGCGTCACCCACACCGGGGGACCAGGGTCAGAGCCTCCGAGGGCACAGCAGGGTGGCAAGACTGAGGAAGGGGGATGCAGACAGCCAGGCAGGAGGCAGGCAGAGGTTACTGGAAAAGAAGAAGGGAGCCCAAGGGAGACAGGAGGGAGAGGAAGAGGAGCAAGAGAAAAGCAAGAGAGAAGACGTGTGGCATGGTTATCGGAAGCTGAGACTGTGATCAAAGGAATGATAGGAAATAGAGAATGTTCTAGAAGACACCGGAAAATACCTCACACGGAAGAGTTTGAACACATGGTAATATTTTATTGCTTAAGTTGTACATTTCTAAATTTAAAGAAAAAGCTCTCTGACCTATGACCCATGGTCAAAGTCTGAGGAGGCAGCGCTTTGGTTGGTTTTGGGGCCATGTCCCATGGCCTCCTGCTCGCTCAGGGAGCATCTTCTTGTGAAGCGAATACAAAAGCCAACTCTGGTTTTTTGCATATTAATTTGTGGCTGCATTGACTTACACAAGAGAGAGGGGGAGAAAACCCTAGATCACATGGCCTTGAGCTCACACGACGTGTTTAAAGCCTTCCTTAACCTTTACATCCCTCTGAGGTAGATCGGAGAGCTGTAGTTTTAGCCCCTTTCTACAAAAACAAAATCACGATGGAAACACAGAATTAAATCAAACACACACAAAATCTAGAGTGGGATGCTTTGCCTTAGCCATCCCGATTTAATCCGGGGTAACAGAACTAAGCCAATTCCCGACGTTGTAACTGATGAATGCGTTTCAAGGTGTCCCCACTTATAAGCAGGTTCTATTTGGTCAAATGAAACCACGTTTCCGACTTAGTCCCTAGTGCAGAGCTGTAAAGAGTCTGCTGTGGTTAGCCTTTTCGTTCTCTTTCTCTTTATTTGACCACTTCCCTTTGTGCTGCAGATCAGTCCCTTATGGCTACTGTCTGTCGACATCCTTATTTTTGCTCATAAACTTGGGCTGAGTGAGTGTCTGGCCCACAGGTGGGGATGCAGTCTCTGGCTTCAGGAAGATTCCTTCCTGTCCTCTGGCCTCCACAATCTGAAGGGCATGTCACGGATCCTGCGATCCTGGCTCTTTTTGTGACGCCCTAAACTTCAGTGGCCTGTAATGTGTGGCACAATGTGACAGGCCCTGTGGGAAGAGAGAAATGGACAGAAGACCCATGTCTGGCCCTTCAGGCACTTCACATGGCTCCTAGAATGATCTGTTCCTTCTTTTTAAAATGTTGTTTCCTTGGCTTCTCTAGGTCCTAGTGAGCATTATTTTTCTGGTTTCTCTTTCTTTACACTGTTGTGTTATTTGCTCATGATGCTTTTAAATATTGAACTACATAAAATCCAGAGTTATCGCAAGTCTGTGTTTTCCCTCAGAGAAGAATGTGCTCAGTTGGCCAATGATCCAATATTCCACTGGCTTTCACAACAGAATAAGCAAGGCTTTCGAAGGTTAATTTGTTTTTACAAGGCACCCCGAGTAAATTCTGTGGCTTCATGGCCCAACAGGAAAGCGAAATCTTCCCCTGGGTTGGCAACATCCTGGGGAATCACTAGCCTCGGGGCCAAACAGGACAGCCCAGGAAGAACAGGAAGGACCCTGAGGAGCAAATGTGACTGACATACAAATAACAACACATGTGGTTTTGCAGACTCACGAGGCCCTGGGAGACAAAAGTGTGAGTGAAATCCATTCTAGCAGCCAGGAGGGGTGCTGGTTACGTGTTCCTCCATAGCCATGCCGCCATCCTCGCGTTGCGTGTTTTGTTTTCCAGATTTTTCTTCTTTATTGTCTGTAATTTGGCGTGGACTGTGAGCCTCTGCTGCTCTTCCAACATGTTGCCAAAAAACTGCTGCAGCTGCAAGCACCAAGGGAGGATGGGTCGTGAGACAGAATAAGGCAATGTTCATGTGGAGGAGCAAATGGATTTTGCAAATGGAGCGCACATGGCGGCCAGAGTGGGTAGGAAGGTGCGCTCGCGCAGACTGTGTGTTCCTGGGGAGACCCTGCTTGAGAACAGGTGATGAAGACTACACCTACCCTGAAGAATTAGGTGTAGACCAGAAGTCCCGTGAAGGGGGAGCTTCATCTATTTGATTCCCTGCTCTATGCCCCAGAGCACAGGGCAGGTGCTCAGTAACGACTCACCGAACGCATACTGGATATTACACCAGATGTGTGGACAGACACACAGGGAGAACTTCTCTTATCTCAGAAGAAACGCTGCAACTCCCAAGGCTCAAAACTGGCCCCTAACATCTGGACCCTTACAAGTGTTATCCTTTATTTAAGAATATTTAGAGGGGCGCCTGGGTGGCTCAGTTGGTTAAGCGACTGCCTTCGGCTCAGGTCATGATCCTGGAGTCCCAGGATCGAGTCCCGCATCGGGCTCCCTGCTCGGCAGGGTGTCTGCTTCTCCCTCTGACCCTCCCCCCTCTCATGTGCTCTCTGTCTCTCTCATTCTCTCTGTCTCAAATAAATAAATAAAATCTTTAAAAAAAAAAAAAAAGAGTATTTAGAGAGTAGGCTTATCCCCTGACTAGATTCCTTCACTGAGTCAGCTCAAGCCTTTAGCTATGGGAACATCTGCCGCAATATTATGTCTAAACCAGACCCCAGTGAACTAATAAGTCATATTCCAAAAAGTCTATTTCTGTGTCACTGGATTAGAACTTATTTTTTCTTCCAGATTTTTATTTCAATTCTAGTTAGTCACCACATAGTGTAATACTGGTTTCGGGAGCAGAATTTAGTGATTCATCACTTACATACAACACCCGGTGCTCCTCATAACAAGTGTCCTCCTTAATGTCCATCCCCCATCTAGCGCATCCCCCACCCACCCACCTCCTTCCATCAACCCTGTTTGTTCTCTATCGTTAAGAGTCTCTCATGGTTTACTTCCCTCTCTCTTTTTTTTTCCCTTGCCGTATGTTCATCTGTTTTCTTCCTTAAATTCCACATATGAGTGAAATCATATGATATTTGTCCTTCTCTGACTTATTTTGCTTAGCCTAACACCCTCTAGCTCCAACCATATTGTTGCATGTTCATTCTTTTTGATGGCTGAGTTATATTCCATTGTGTATCTATAGAGACCACGTCTTCTTTATCCATTCATCGGTCGATGGACATTTGGGCTCTTTCCATAGTTTGGCTTTTGTTGATAATGCCACTATAAACAGCGGAGTGCGTGTACCCCTTAGAATCTGTATTTTTGTATCCTTTGGGTAAACACCTAGTGGTGCAATCGGTGGATTATAGGGTAGTTCTATATTTAACTTTTTGAGGAACCTCCATACTGTTTCCCTGGATTTGAATTTGGAACATTTGAGATGACAACGTATCTATGGCGGCTCACAAAATGTCACTTACACCTAATGTACTTGAAATTTCGAGTGATGGGGCCATCCAGCCTAATTACCATGTAAAAGAAAAGTAAGTTTCTTTTTATTTTAAGGTTTTATTTATTTGAGAGAGAGTAAGATCATGAGCTGGGGTGGGGGAAGGGTAGAGGAGAAGCAGACTCCCCGCTGAGCAGGGAGCCCAATGTGGGGCTCCATCCCAGGACCCTGGGGTCATGACCTGAGCCGAAGGCAGACGCTTCACCGACGGAGCCACCCAGGTGCCCAAAAAGTAAGTTTTGAGCAAAACGTAGGCTAAGGAACCACGAACAAAACTCCTGCCCTCTCCCACAGCTGCCCAGAACCCAGTACCACATGCAGTGTGTGGGAGGCGAGTAGGGGTCTGTGGGATTGTCGGTGGGGCTCCATGCATGCTGGGAGCGTGAGGCCAGGCTCCCGCTGGGTGTCATACGAAGACCAGACCATATTTTCAGTATGATCCCGTGAACAGAGAGATGACAGCAGGACTACAATCCATAAATGATTACTACATTTTTGACAAGGACATTCACAGTAGCTAATTGTTTTCAAAATGGCAAAAATTTCACCACAGCTGAAAGTATTTTTGTTGTTTTTTTTTTAAAAAAACAAACTGTCAGTGACTCTAGAGTTTTGGAACTCCGAGGACTGCTAAATTTATGGGCACTTCATTCATTCATGAAACGGCAAATAAAACTTCCCTGGGTTCTCTAGACACAAAGAAGAACGGAGGCCCTTCGTTGCCAACACAAACTCGGCCTTCATTCTGGAGCCTTCCTTCCAGCATGTCTGGGTGCCCCTCCCTCTCCTGTCCAGGGAACCCGTGATAAGTCAGGTCCTGGCAGCTCAGCCTCAGGCAGGCCAAAACTCACACATAGAGAAGTCCTTCAGGAATTCGTGATTCTTCCTCTCTCATAATAACAACTACATAGCTGACTGCTTCTCTCTCTCTCTCTCTTACTCTCTCTTTTGGCTCACAATCAAACTTCAGGCCTTTATGACCTATATATTTATTGGTTTATTTGCTGGGGCAGGGGAGCTGATTTTCCTTCCTTCTTTTTTTTTTTTCTTTAAACCAGGTCGATGTGTGGAGTGGATGGAGCTTCCTGCTCCATAAATCCCCTTAATATCTTATCCTTGGATAGAGGATGTTATGAGATATTAACCTGTTAAGAACAGACACTACCCTTGATCTCAGCCAAAAGACCAAGAAGTGATTGCTTTTCCTTCCTTATTTATACAGGCCCTTTCTGTTCATACTAATATAGTTCTGGGCCACAGTGTTTAATTTGTGCTCAGGCATTTTTTTCAAAAAATATTTACTGAACTCAATTGAGATGAAATTGATGGACAAGAAACCGTATTCACTTGAAGTGTGACAAGTGAGTGAGTGCTGCTCATTTTATATGCCCGTAAAACACAGAGCTAGGATCTAGCTACAGTAAAGTACATTTCCATCGCCCACATATTCCTTCAGGCGCTCTGCAATGGAGCTCTCCCTCCATCCCAGGCAACCACTGATCTGCCTTTTGTCACGATAGATTATATTTGCATTTCCCGGAATGTGTCTGGTTTTTTTTGTCTCTAACTCAGCATAATCATCTTGAGATGTATCCATGTTGTTACACAAACTTATTCTTTTTTTTTTTTAATTGCAGGATAGTATTCCCTGGTGTGGATATATTACATTTTCCCTATCTAGTCACCTACTGATGGATGTGTGGATGGTTTCCAGTTCTTGGCTAACGTGAATAATGCTGCCATGAACATTTATGTAACAAGTCTTTGTGTGGATATGGGTTTTAATTCCTCCTGAGTAAAAACCTAAGAATGGAACTGTAGGTCACACGTGTCTAAGTAACATTTTAAAAGACCACCTGTTTTCCAGAGGAGTTGTACATGTTACCTTCTCGCTGGTAGAAAAAGAGAGTTCCAGTTGCCTTACCTCTTTGCCGGTGTTTGGTATCGTAAATCTTTCTAGTTTTACCTATGCTCTAGGTGTGTAGAGGTTGTATTTATATATTACCCTTGTTTTGGTGTGTGTGTGTGTGGGGGGGGGGTGTTTGATAGACATTTGCTTTGGCCCCTTAGATTACTTTCTGGATGCAGGATCCCCTTTTCTCTCCAGAACGACTCCTCCCCTATCCCCGTGCCTGTGGTTTGGGTGGGGCTGGCTCAAATGCCGGCACATGACCCAGGCTGAGTCACTGGGGTATTTCACGCACACCCCACCCCCACCCCCGACACACACACCGGTCCACAGTCACTGGGGCATGTGGACCCAGGTGGGACCAACCAGAGTCCTTCCGTGGAGCTGGAACTTGAAGTTGGGTGAGCAAGGACTCCTCCTCCTCCAACTGAGAGGGCTACGGACAAAGTTGGGTGAGCAAGGACTCCTCCTCCTCCAACTGAGAGGGCTACGGACAAAGTTGGGTGAGCAAGGACTCCTCCTCCTCCAACTGAGAGGGCTACGGACAAAGTTGGGTGAGCAAGGACTCCTCCTCCTCCAACTGAGAGGGCTACGGACAAAGTTGGGTGAGCAAGGACTCCTCCTCCTCCAACTGAGAGGGCTACGGACAACAGAAGCCTGGGGCTACGTTTGCCTCCTGTGGAGAAAGCCTGCCTTAATTGTCCATCAATTTCATCTCAATTGAGTTCAGTAAATATTTTTTGAAAGAAATGCCTGAGCACAAATTACTTACTTAAAAAACAGTAATTAATTCAGCCGAGGAGGAAGCAGAGCCTAGGAACGGCAAGCTCCGGGTCACCTGGCACGTTCAGTGGGTAGAGCGTGCGACTCTTGATCTCGGGTTTGTGAGTTCGAACCCCACTCTGGCTGGAGAGATTACTGTAAAAATAAAATCTTAAAAAAAGATAAGTAGCCAGGCCTCTTCTAGGGTCTAGAATACAGGTCTGACGAAAATGTGGTCTCCCTCCTCAGGGAGCTCCTTAGAGCCGCAGGGAGCAGACCCCTTTATACACCAATTATAGTATAGGGTGGTTAGCACTATGATACAGGTATTCACAGGATAACTGAAGAGCGTGCAGGAGGAGAGGGTGTAAATCGGTTAATTAAAAAATTCCTAGACTAGGTGGTTGGAGCAGGGTCTTAAAGGATAACTAGGAATCATCCAGCCAAGGACAGGCAGGGTGAAGCCACCCAAATCAGAAGGTAGGGCGTTTCCAAAATCTGGAAAATGTGAAGCAACATGATAATTGAAGAAAATCTGTAAACGGTACAGCATCACTGGAGGCAAAGTGTTGGGGAGCGTCTCCTACACTCGGCAGTGAGGCAGGCAAAAACTGAAGCCAGAGAGGCCGGCAGGGGCCAGGTGATAATGAAGAGAGTAAAAATGTCTTCTCATCACTTGATGAGTTCCTGAAGCTTCGACAGCGGGGCAAGGACTGAGGGCCGAGAGTCCTAGCCAGAGGGCACTGCAGTCAAGCGAGGTGAGCAAGGATGGAGTCCAACCCTCTACCAGCAAGAATGGTCTCTATTTCAGGAGCAAGATGGAATCAAAAGCCATTTCCTGCACAAAGTGAAAATAACCCCGACGGAGGCACGGAATACAGTAATTCCAATAAGCCTGTCATTTTCAATTTTAGCAGCTCTAAATTACATGAAAAATGGCTTCTAAATTATCATTATAATTCAGGATATCTAAAGTACTTACCTCTGTGATCTGCAAGTCTGTACTTATGGTTCTCCCTATTATATACATGAGAGTAACCAGCGACTGTGTTCCGTACCTACAAAGCAACAAGATGCTAATCAGAGGTGGAAAATGCTTTGCAAGATAAAGCTGTATTTTATAGAGCAGGTAGATGCCAAGTGCACAGCCCCTATTGATTCCTACGTCCCAGATCTACGCAAAAACACGTATGAACTAGTTTAGCTTCATCATTTAATAGGAAATCTATTATATAGAAAATTTTATCAGCACTAAGGAAATATTCATAGGTAAATATCCATTTGTGTCCACATAGTTCTGAAAGCTTTACTTAAATATAAAACGCTCTTCTTAAAAACCGCAACCATTTTTATCTTTTTAAATGAGGTGGTTAAAACGGATGTCATGTACCTCAAATTAAGACAACTTAAAAGGGGTAAGTAAATATGCAAATTATGCTCCTTAAAAAACAGTAAATATGGGATCAGTTTCAGAAACTCTGCCTAACCTACCCTGAAAGCTTATTTAAAATTTTGTATTTGCGTATGCTTTTTGGAGAGAGGATCCATGTCTTTGAAGATTCTCCACATGTTGGTGATTACCAAAGGGCTAAGTACTCTGGCTTCACTTTCTCGCCCTCAAACAGGCACCATGATTGAAACTTCCCCTCTAGTTTCGAGTCCTTGAATGTCCAACAAGGATCATCCAGAAAAAAAACCATGAAACACTGTTATGGAAAAACAACAGATACATACCTGCCCGAAGCCTTGCTGTGGTTAAAAAGGTAAATAAAGACTTTGGGATGCATTAAAGAAGAAAGAAAATTAAAATAGAGTTAATGTTTTGGACCCAACAAGAAAGGGTTCAACTACCATTCTGTTCTATCGATGGTAGATAGTTAATACACATGATTGACTTACTTTAAAAACGTATACTTGAAATTAAAAATTGCAAGAGTTAATGTTGGTATAATACTCCAAGGTAAAAGAACCTCTCTGTAACACCTGACTGTTCTCCGTTTGCTTGTGCTTCTATTTCTCCGTTCAGCTGTGTGCTCCCCATCATGAAACCCAAGAGAGAGGAAGCGGGAATGTGTGCAAGCTTTCATGCTTAGCCAGTGTAACAACATTTGAGGAAGAAATCAAGGCTTTGGTGAAAAAGAAGGGGGTAAGATTCATTTTAGGTCAGGAAACTGATCATACTTTGCATCCTATATTCAAATAAAACTAGGGTTTTCCTGGAGGCTGTGAAGCCTACATGGTTTTAAGAAAGCCAAAAGCAGGGGACACCCAGGTGGCTCAGTAGGGTGGGCATCTGCCTTCAGCTCAGTCATGATCGCGGGGTCCTGGGATCAAGCCCCAGACTGGGCTCCCTGCTCAGTGGGGAGCCCGCTTCTCCCTTTGCCTGCCATGCCCCCTGCTTGTGCACTCTCTGACAAGTAAATAAATAAAATCTTGAAAAAAAAAAAAAAAAGCCAAAAGCACCTGACCAGGATGACATGGCAGAAACACCATTTCTACTGCCTACAGTAACAACTCATACAAGTCCTATTGCTTCATCTCTATCCACACATTCTTTCATGAGATCCATCCACAGCTGTGGGGCCAGATGCATCTTTCCCTAACCTGCGAGATGTCTTTATGGTCAGTGGAGGTTTCCTCACTGGGATTGGGACTCAAAAGATCATCTTTGGCCCAACAATGGACTTAAATACCCCACAGCAACCAGTGCAATGCTCCAAACATGGGAGCGAGGGACAGGACCAAACTGAAGTTGTTTGCCTCAATACAGTATTCCCAAATACAGTTTCAGATCAGGCTTCCTGGGAAGTACATGGGGCCTGAACCGTTGCTGGCCAGAGCCCTCAGCTCTAACACTGGACCAGCCCTGTCTCCTCTGTTCCAGAGCCCCGAGTTCCAGCCACCTACTGTGACCGGTCCCAAGCCAGATGCTCAGTCCTGCCCCCGGGCATTTGCTGGCATCCTCTGGTCCATGCAGAAGGTCATTTTTTTCCCACTGTTTGTTCAAATCCCACTTAAATCCCATTCTTCTCTTTCGGTCCCCAAACCTTCTCCGGCTCTCCTCTACAGCATTTCTCAGGTAGCACATCCTCATCACCTTATATCCCTGACAAGAGCTTAAACTAACTGGACCTTGGCATGGCAAGATGATAACTGTTTATTACAAGAAAGAACCTTGGAATTGATCAAATAGGATACCTTTCATTTTATATAAGAGGAAACCAAGGCCAACATGTTAACTAACAGGCAAACAAGAAACAGTTGTTCTAGTTGCATTCCAGAGGGGAGTGTTGGAGAATTCCGTTTCTCGTCTGTTTCTCTCCCAGAACAACTGATCTCCTGGCAAAATGACATTCTGTTTACATGACATAGACAGTGAGTAGCAGGATTACGGCTGTAAGATGTAGGAAAGAGGTACGGAAAACTCTAGATGTCCTTCTGTGGGGCTTCTTGGGGTCTTTACGATCCTAGCATATACTGTGAATTTGCAAAAGTGAAGGTTAACACAGATGGTTCCCAAACTGATCAGGCTACTGTCTTTCGTATTCCATGAACAATGCTCAGTGAAACATACCGGAGAAACACGAATTTCGCAACTAACTTGCTAGGAATCAGTCACATTTCAGGAAGTTCAGAATAAGTCTTTTTCACATAATTAATGTAAAATTTAATTTGTCAGAGGCATTTGTGCATTGATCCTTTATGTTGTCTTTATTATTATATGAAGACTGGTAACATGCTAGTCTTCATGTTAAATATAACTGTTTAAGTAATGACTTAAATGTTCTGATGTACAAAGAATTAAGTAAGCATTTTTGAGCCATTTTTAGGGTGTATAACATTTTGATTATTAACTTGCACTTTTATTTCCTTCTAACAATCTATAAATACTATCACTGTTCATTCAAACAGAATCATTTGCACAATTCAGCAGGACTGATCAATATTAAAATTACTATTAGATAAATGAATAAAGAGTAAATTTAAAAATGTATTAGTTGTAGAAAGCAAACCTATTTGAGTCTGAAAGACTTTTTGTAGCAGAATGTGAGAGAGGAGTGAACTGAGATGAATTTGCTATAAATAGGCATCTATTTTATGAGCATGATATCTTGTTGATAAGGGATTAAAATATTCAAGCCATGGTTAAAAGTTCATACATTTACAGTTCTAGGAGCTTCTTTATTTTTTAAGATTTTTATTTATTTATTTGAGAGAGAGAGAGAGAGACAGAGCATGAGTGGGGAGGAGGGGCAAAAGGAGAAGGAGAAGCAGACTCCCCACTGAGCACTCAGGGAGCCCGATGCGGGACTCGATCCCAGGACCCCGAGATCATGACCTGAGCTGAAGGCAGACACTTAATCTACTGAGCCACTGAGGTGTCCTATAATTCTAGGAGCTTCTTGAGGTTCAAAAGACCCATTTAGAGTTAAAAAAAAAAAAGTGGGGAATTCCATCCATTTAATATAGTACACACATCACTGAAATAAATTGCCACCCATCACTTCTCGGCCCTTTGGTTAAAATCAGATGTAAATAAACCGCCACACGATGGACTTTCCCGAGAGTGTTGCCAACGTGTTCCTGTTCTCTAAACACAGAAAAAAACGGTTCTTCTGAGGAATAAAAGTTAAAACACACTCCAAGTCACTTAAATTGAGAGCGATCTTTCCCATGAGTTGCTCAAAGCCATTTTGGGGGGCTTTCTCAGCACATGTGCTGTGTGTGGTAGAGGAAAAGGGGATGAAAAATGAACCAAGGGGCGGGTTTACCCCTGGGAGCACATTGTCCAGCTGAACTCGGCAGTGCTGGCCATGTTCTGTACCTGAGCGGTCCAGCATGGTAGCCGTTGGTCACTTCGTGCTCTTGCAACAGGACTTGTGCAAGGGTGGAGCTGGATTTTAAATTTTCTTTAATTTTAGTCAACTCAAATTTAAATTTAAAGATCCACGGATCAACCGGTGGCTATCATATTGAGCAGTGCAGCCTTAGATGATTCTTTTAATCAGGGGTCAGCTGGTTTCATGTTAAACCATACCAGCATCACCCCGGGACGGGAGCTGGTGAAAGGTGCACATTCCCTGCCCTACTTTGGTGGATTCTGATTTTTAAGGAGGTAGGTGGGCTTGAGAGCCTTGAGGTTACTGAACCACTCTAGGAGATTTCTAATGTTGTGCCTGGGCTCACCATGTCACTTTGAGCCACAACGACAGTAAGTACGATCCTCAGCACTTAGAAGGACATACCAGGTGCCAGGCACAGCGAAACACTAAGCCTGGCTCAAAATCGTGAAGCTCTGTCTTCCTCAGGGCCCAGCAGTGCATAGGAAGGAACAGAGGAGATCACCGTTGGGCCCTCAGGCAAATCATCACACAGTTCTGAAAGGAGCTGTGCTCTCAGCGTTTTAATTCCACAACTGCTCCTCAATTGTTCCGTAGGAAACAGTCAAGAACAATAGCTGAAGTGAATGCCCGTGGGCATTACGAACCACAGCAGCAGAAGGACAGGCAGCCTCATGGGCCAGGCAGAGCCAGACCTAGAGGGGGTACGCAGGGACGGGGCTTCTGTGACAAACTCCAGGGAGAGAGAACAGAAACAAAGAGACAACCCTGTGTGGCTGGAATCTCTGAAACCTCAGGGACCAAGGGGACCAATGTCAATAATTTTCATTTCAATCCCAGTTCCCCAGTTCCCAGTGGGACCTAGGAAGGAGGGCATTATCTTTAACGACTTAAGCAAAAATGGAAGACATCATTTACCCCCAAGGTCTTTGGAATCCGAGGAGATTTAAGGAATTCATAAGGCTGCCAGAAGCAATGAACTTAGAATGATAGATAATTTAACAGTGGACATAAGGTCAATTTTCTCAGTAAGTGTGTTCTGCGATGAGCCAGGAAAATGGTACTATGCAAACAAGCTTTTAGCTACATGTTGTACATTTCTGATTTAAAAGCACATTTTTTTTGGTGTTTAAAGGAGTTCAATAAACAAAAGAAAAACTTTGCAGGATTTTGTTTTGTAAGAGAGCCATATTCATATTTTTTTTTTTAGAACTGGGGGTGCTGCAGTGCATGGAGAGAGAGAGGGAGAGAGAGAGAATCTTAAGCAGGCTCCACGCTCAGCGATGCAGGGCTTGATCTCACGACACTGAGACCATGTCCTGAGCCAAAACCAAGAGTCGGATGCTTAATTGACTGAGCCACCCAGGAACCCCCTATATTCACATTCTTAAACATTTATATTCTAAATATACTTTCTGTTCCAAAAGAATAAACTTAGTTATGAAAGGTACCTTCCAGCTTTACAGGTGTTTGGATCTGCTAAGTATCTGCTAACTCTAGCAGATGTGAGTACTTGTAGGACGCATTATTCTAGGCTTTCAGGAATGTATGATTAAGTCAAGTGCTAGAAAGACGAACCATCAAGGGCATGCTGTCTGATTTTTGCATGTCAGTGTACATTTTACCCAACAGGGGGCTACGAAGGAAGCAGATTTAATCTTAAAAGGTAAGAAATATGGAAAGTTCGAGAATATGGAAACCAGATACGTAAAGGGAATCTGACAAATAAGACCCAAGCAACAGCCAGACTGACATAGTCATGAACATTGTTTCTTGTAATATAGTGGTCTACCTCCCAAAATAAGTGAATGGTTGGCGTGCACTCACACCAAAAAAAAAAAACATGACTTGTTCTACTCTATGTCTCTGATGACAAACTTCTTAGTGGGCAAAGCCGGGAGACAGGTAGGTATAATCCCAGGCAAACCCATTTTCATACAGAAAGCCAAAACTGAGGGTAAGCGACCTTCTCTTCCACAAATGAGACTAAACGCAAGAAAAATCATCACTTCTCTGGTCCGTGCAAAGGACTTTTGTAACCTAGTCAGACTAAGGTTGAACATCTAGCACCAAACCAATGACCAACCTTGCATTCCCTTCTTACCTTTCACTCACAGCTTGCCAGTTGTTGACTAGAAAGTCCTTTGCGATGTACCGGCCCACTTCAGATGCTGCCACCACCTCAATGATATTTGTTTCATTAAAAGCAAAAGGAGATGCAGTAATGGCGTACTCCATATATCTGCAAAAATGCATTTGCAGAAAATAAATGCACAAACATTATCCAATAGAAAGCAAATTTCAACAAGTGGACTTAAAATCCCATATGGTGCTAAGTCAGGAGGGCACAAACAGGTATTCTTTGAGTTCCTATAGTAGCACATGTTCTATTTTTCTCCCTTTGGTCTATTAATTGCATTCCTCCGCCAGGAACTCCAAAGATAAGTTGACCGTAATCACCTGTTAAGTATCCATGGGTCTTTACTGCAGCTCATCGCATAAGCGAGTTGAATCCTTTCTTCTTCCTTTGTTTTATTAGCGTACATATTTAACAGAAAGTCCCATTCTTCCTCACTTCCCAAGGCGATGCCATAACATAAAATTACACTTTTAATCGGAGAAGGTATTCTGTAAGGTAGAACATGCAGTGATATTTCTCATAGTAGTTATGTGATATGTTTATTTAGATGTTATATTTTAGAAGGATGTACCTAGAAAAAAATGTTGAGGTCTCAGATGTAATGATCAAAAGTAGGGATCGAGAAAGCCAACTGTGGAAACTGTCATTAGCATTAATATTGTGAGACAAGAACATCAGATTCATTTAGAAACTAAGGAGTTATAAGAAAGAAGGAAATTATAATAGTTCAATCAACATACACTGATAATTCAGCTTGGGCTCATATATATATATATATATATTTTAAAGTAATCTCCACACCCAGTGTGGGGCTTGAACTCACAACCCCGAGATCAAGAGTCAGATGCTCTACCAAGCGAGCCAGCCAGGTGCTCCTTATCTCATGTCTTAAGATCACATTTCTTGAGAGTCCACCTGAGGTGATGCATTAGACATAACACAGTAAAACCAGAAATATAGTCTTCGTCTCAGCTCTCAGAGGGAATGCAAACTCAAAGAGAATGAGCTCCTTGGACACACTTATATATAAATCACAATAATAAACCATCGAGGAACAACCGAAATAAGACTCAAGGTACGCACAAATGGGGTGCCTGGGTAGCTCAGTTGGTTGGGCGACTGCCTTCGGCTCAGGTCATGATCCAGGAGTCCCAGGATCAAGCCCCGCCTTGGGCTCCCTGATCAGCAGAGGATCTCTCTCTGACCCTCCCCCATCTCGTGCTCTCTCTCTCTCAAATAAATAAATAAAATCTTAAAAAAAAAAAGATACGCACAAGTGCTTATTAGGGAACACGCTGACAATTAGCGGCCCAGGGTGACAACACACTGCATAAATTCGAATCCACTGTCATACCCAGACCTACGGTAGACAATGCAAAAGAAAAAAAACGGGGAGGGATATTTGAAAAAAATAGGAGACAGACTACCCAAGCAAAAACGAAACAATCACTCCCAGAATGAGAACATCGAAAAGGGAGAGAAATTATTGGTGTTGAAACAGGACAGAACCAAGGGCAATCCAATATGAGTCTTACTCATTCTCTGGATGGTTCGCCCAGTTCTTGAAGAGTTCTCTTGACAGCTGAAGACAGTCTTCAAGGCCCAACCAGCACGCAGTTTCAAAAAGTTTTTCCAGGGCTACTCTTAAAGGAAAGCACAAAGAAAAACATTTTGTTTTGCTACATTTATTTTTTTTCCTACTCCAAGTACATGTGTTTCATGAGAGGATGGGTATTTTAAAATATCCTTCCGATAACATCGGGGTTTGTGAAAAAATAGCTTTTGTGGATGGCAAACTTATTTAAGGCTCAGAGAAATATTTGCTGAGAGGCTCTCAGGCACCAAATAAACTCCTAAGACTGGTATTTTTTAAAAGTCGGAAATAAATTACTGCCATTCTTCATCTCCCTCAAACACACGAGGGAGTACACACACTCCACATCTGTTATCAATTTAGTTTTCCTCCCTTTCTTATAATAATTGCCTTATGGATAGAAAGAAAAAAGACTTGAGAGTATTTGATCTAATACCCTCAAAAATGAAGTTCTTTTCTCTATACACGGAAAGGAGAGGGAGGGGTTTCTTTCTCTTTCCTCAATGTGCTTTCCCTTGCTGGAACTTTTGTTTCTTCCTCTGCTCTATTTGGCTATTTATGTTCGTGTCCAGATAAATAAGAGAGATTTTTGTTTTGTTTTGACAGCTGAGCAGCACTACACATTATTGTTCCAAACGAAGTAAGTTCAAAATGAGGGTTCGGGGGGGTGGGGGGATGGGTTAGCCTGGTGATGGGTGTTAAAGAGGGCACGTTCTGCACGGGGCACTGGGTGTTATACGCAAACAATGAATCATGGAACACTTCATCTAAAACTAATGATGTAATGCATGGTGATTAACATATCAATAAAAAATCAAAATTACATTAAAAAAAAAAAGAATACGGTGAAGAACAGCAATCAGTCCAGAGAAGCGATGCCTGGAGGTGTGTCTCTCCATACTCCCAACTCTCTCTGACTTGGATTCAGAGGAAAGGAACTCAAACTGGCCCTAAGTTTCCAGAAAATGCAAGAGCCAAATCAGGGTTGCTTCACCCTCCAGTTGCAACCTCAGCCTGGCCTGACCTTCCGATAAGGAGAAGTAGAATGTCCAAGGGGGGAGGGCCTCTGAAAGACAGTTCTGAGCATTCATTTACCCGCTCCCTCCCTCTCCTTCCCCATCCCAAGTTGGATGCAGCAAGACGGGGTTTTCTATGAGTACACAACTCTCCAAGTTTACTTGGAAGACAACTGGCCCCAGGAAGCTAAAAAAAAGCAGGTCACTTGAGTCCAATTTAGGAGAGCCAAGGATATGGCTGGCTAACATTTGTGGTGCCCTGAGTGAGCACACTTTTGTCCTCCAGTTCACGCACCCGACTCGTCTGCCCACTGACTATCCCGCTAGTCCTCACCGTCTCCCGTCTAAGTGTCTAGTCAACCCCATGTCCTTCCAGTTGCCTGCCCTAGCAAGGAAATATCTCCCCTCTCGGAAGGATACCCTTGACAGAGAATAATCCCATTTTGTCTATTTTGTATTTCTTGTTTGGTCTGATTGATTTCAGCCTGATATTGATTAGAGCTGTAAACATAATCCCTGTACTGTTATAGATAACAAATTCCCTCCCTAAATCTAGAAGCTCCCCTCACGTCTCCCCTCTCTCCCTACAAATCTTGGGTCACAGGAGGCTGGGGATACTGCAGCCTTATTTTACCTTTCACCCCCTTCCGAGACCATCATGACAACATGCTTACCGCCCTCACCAAACCAATAATATGGAAATCATTTGCAATACTTGCTCATGCTCACACACAAATGACTAAACTATTTCAGGCAACGTCTCTCATCATATTTGTGTAATGAATGGCAGAATTTCTGTCACCAATAACATACGGAAAGGATTTTTTTTCTCTTCTGGCCTCCCTATGCCTTCAATGCATCTGTATAGGCTGGTTTTAAACAGTACAACCCTTCACCAATGGTAGGACACACTCACAACCTCAACCAGGGGCCTAAGATTTGAGAATACAGAGCTATAGATTCCTGTGTGTCCATGCGTGTACTTTGCAGGTAAATTAAGATCCCAAACTACTATTTCCTACTGGGGAACATGTAGCTCACCCATCCCAAAGACGCTGGTCTCAAGGAGCATACAAAATCTCCCAGTTAAATCATAGGTATCAAGGTCTTCCTAATATACATTGGAAGGCTGTCTTTTAACGTGAATCATTTTATTCAATTATAAACTGAATTGAATATAAATTGAATATACATATTCAATATAGAAAAATAAAAAAATACTTACAGGGCTAAATAGTCGTCTTGTAACACTGCCACATTTTCACGAATGACAGTTGAATACATATTCCATATTGAGATAAGTCTCTTTAACAGATACTTCTACAAACAATAAGGAAAACCTGCAGTTAGCTATGGCTCACAACACTGAATTTGCCTGTATTTCCCTTTCTCTGAAAAGACAGGAATAGAGGAGTGACAGGTATCTCCTGAGAAGTTGTCTTTGTTACTAAACGTGTAACTGGTTGATTTTGTAGCCTCTCTACATTCAGGTTCCTAATTGGTACAATGGAATTGCCGAGAATACCAATATTACAGTTTGGTGAGGACAAAACAATATTATATATGTGAATATGCACTGCGAACGTAGGAACTCGATAAATCTTAGCTCTTATTACCATTTCACATCACCTGGAACATTTTCAGGTGTGTTCAAGATAGAGAAAGAAACATAAAATTTTAAAACCATTAAAATTTCTACCTTAACATTCCCATGCTTCGTATCTACACCTCCAAGAAAAATTGGGACAACTGATTTACGCTTTGGACAATTTTAAGCCTTGAGTCTGAAAAAAATTTTCTTCAACTGAGCTCTCAGCTGGGTGAATAGCAAGGTTATGAAAGTTATCCATTTACAATACATCCCCAAGCACGAAGTAGATGCTATTCATTGACATTCATTAAAAACAAATCCTAGGGCACCTGGGTGGCTCAGTTGGTTAAGCGTCTGCCTTCAGCTCAGGACATGATCTCAGGGTCCTGGGATCGAGCCCCGCATCGGGCTCCACTCAGCAGGGAACCTGCTTCTCCCTCTCCCTCCGCCCCGTCCCTGCTTGTGCACTCTCTCTCTCTCAAATAAAAAATAAAAACAAATCCTAGTTTTTACTTCTTTACCCAGAACCAGGCATCAGAGTTTATCAATGAGCCACCTTGATCCCACAGTTAAATGCTTTCTTTTCTGGGTCACCGTCCCCCCATGCAAGGACGTTTCCACCAGCTCTTTGGACAGCAGAGGAAAGAAAGTCTGGACCCGTGAGGTATTTGTGATCTCACCTTCCAATTGCCCCAGAAGCTTGCTTGGAATGATCATCTGGCCCACTTTCTGATTTGTTTCTGGTCCCTAGCTCTCCAAAGGGCTGATCCCTAACTGTTGCTTTGGTTTGCCCTGAGCCATCTTTCTTAGGATCACTGTTTAAGATCTAATAATGGAAGTTTTCTCCTTTTCTATTGTTTCAGTTATGATGGTGTGTCATTGCTTGATGAATTCCCATTTTCCTCTCTCACTTGCCAGCAGCAAAAGCAGCTTTAAAATGTTTACTTTTTCTGGAACATGCCTCTCTGGTGAAGCGCTAGTCCTGTAGTTCAGAGTATTTCAATGATGAATATAGGGTTGTTAAAAGTCTTCCGCTGTTTGACTAACAATCTTTTAGGAGAATAGTTGCTATCAGAGAAGAGGCATACCATTTCCATCCACTTCTGGGTTCTTAGGGCACACTGTCACTTCACCAAGAACTAGAGGCCTTTCCAAGCTTCTCTCATGCTCATCTCCTAGACCACGTCTATGACTAAAGTATGACTAAGAGTAACCAGTCATTCCTAAGAAAATTAATATACATTTGGAACTCATAGACTATGACTTGGGGGAAGAGGTGTTTCACAGATGCTGTCTAGTTATGGAAAGAGGGAGAGAGGACTTTTTCTAAACCACACAACAAAGAAGGAAATTACCTTTAATAATGGGTATATATCATAGCTGTTCGCATCAAAAACAAGATCCTTGGTTACCAGGTTCACCAAGACCGCATACCATACTATGATTTCATCTTCTTCAGCAAGGTACTTGGTTAAATCAAGGGCTGTTTCAATCTCAATATAATTGTTTCTGTTTGGTTCAAAAAAATACACACTCAAAAAACCTCCACTCACTAAATAATTTGCACACTTTCCATATTTGTCCCATGCTTCGACGCCTGACTTTAATAAAGTATGTGAAATCAAGAAGCTAGAGGTCCCAGCTCCTTGATAAGGTAGGAGCCAAGCAATGCTGACAGACCCTCCATTACAATTTGGTACATTCAAGTGCCCCAATTTTTGGAGACTAGAGGAAAATCCAGGCCAACTCTTGGACTGCTCAGCGGGCAAAAGAATATTTGTGCATTTCGTACGCATTCTTATGAGATTATAATTTCCATTCAACAAGTACTGATTAGAAGTCATTATCTAATGCTCTGCCAGATACTCACAGGAACACAAACTAGTGTGTAGGACACAACTCTGGACTACCATTGGGGATCTTATTCTTTCAGGGAGAAGCTGAGACTTAGGCATAAGAAGCTGTTAATGAGTCCGAGAAAAGGCAATGAATATAATAAAAGTAGCAAAGAAGGAAAACCCATGTGTGTGATGGAAAAGTCAGGGAAGGCCTCCTGGGAGGAGGAAAGTGAGAAGGGCAGTGAAGCCTGGGTAAGATGGAAACGGAGAGAGAGAAAGAGGAAGGCTGCTTATGACAGAGAAGATAAAGCGGGAATCTGTGTGATGAGCAGACCAAGCAATCGAGGTGCAGGATTTCTTCAGTGTGGAGTTGAGAGGTGGAAGCTGGAAAATAAGGTGGATCAACACTGTAATGAGCCTTGAATGTCAGGATGAAGAGTTTACATGGAGTAGGAAGGTGTTTAAACAACACGGGGTGACATCACGAAGTAGATGCTGAAAAATTTTATAGCCACTGTGCTGAAGAAGACAGAATGGAATTTAAAGGAACTGAAGGCTGGAAGCTAACATAACAGACTAAGTAAAAGATGAGGGGTGCTTGGCTTAGCATGGAAGCAGTGAAGGTGGTAAGTAAGGGGGAGAATCCAAAAGACATCCTCAAGAAAGAAGAGATAAGACAGTTGGCAAATGGCAGATGGAGAGAGAGAGAGAGGAGTCAAGGATGTCTCTGATGTTTCAAGTTTGGGTGATGGGAAGAATCGTGGCACTTTGGCAGAGGGAAATTGATAGCAGGAGCAATTCAGAGACAGAAAGAAAGTCCACTGTGTAAGGTCCTGAGTTTAAATGATCACAGGATATGCAGAAGGCGGGGGGGGGGGGGGGACAGGTGGAGATGTAGACTTAGAAGTCATGAACATATCCCTTCACAAAGCTTTACTGAGTGGCCTGTATCTGCTGGGCACTGTACGTGCCCATAATCAAATGATCCCTAAAACCATAAGAATGCATGAGCCGTCCCAAGGAAAGAGAAAAGAAAATGATAGAACCATGATTGGTCTGAAGGGAGCACGGAGAAAAATCAGACACAAGAAAAATCAGACACAAGGGAACCGGGTTTGTGTCTCAGAGTCTCCAGAAACCAAGAGAAGTTTCCCGGAGGATATGGTCAACAGTCTCAGAGTCATGGTGCTCCTCGAGAGGGGTTTCAGCAAAGCAGCGGGTGAGGAAATGTGCTGCAGGTCACAGAGGGAAAAGTGGTAGAGAAATGAAGGATAAAATAAACAGACATTCACTCAAGAAACAGGACAGGCCAAAGACAGAGAGAACACACTGGATAATTTATTATATACACTCCTTAATTTTACTGTCTGAAAATTTAAATTTTGGACACATATGAATTTATCTGGATGAATAAATGTATTGAATAAATGTAATAGAAATAAAATCTGTATTTCTGTAGTACACTAAAACATAGGCCATATCTCATTAAAATTATACCTATAGCCATCACCCTAGGGTAAAAAAAATTACTTCAAAATCTCAATTGATAGTCTATTTTTTTTGATATGTCAGTTATTTCCTTAACTTACAATGTCACAGAAAAATGTGAATGCATCTACAACCTTCCTAAATGTATCCCTTTTGATATTAACAGCCTTTACAAATGCAAGCCCAAATCACTTGTGTTTTCCCCTGAGTTTTTCTTCCTGATGGAAATTTAAAAAATAAAAATTCTAATACTTTCTGTGATAATCCTCCAAATATTTAAACACGATAACGTTTTCCTAGGCACATCTTCTCTACCGCATCATTTTTAAAACTTCTCCTTTAAAGGAGGGGACAGGTGGAGATGTAGACTTAGAAGTCTTTTAAAACGCCGACATACATTTTCATCTTGTAAAACTGAAACTTGGTCCCCATTAAACACTAACTCCCCCAAACTCCCCCCTCCCACCTGCCCCCCGCAACCACCCTTCCCTTTTGTCTCTAGGATTCTGACTACTCCAAGGAACTCATATAGGTGGAATCATATAATATTTATCTTTTTGTGACTGGCTTCCTTCACTTAGCCCAATGCCCTCAAAGTACATCCACAGTGATGTCCATCCCAGCAACTTCTATGTTCTAAAATTCCACTGTACCCATGGAACTTGATCCTAATCCGAATAAGCTGGGCCCTGTATAAACTGAAGAAGCAATTTCACTGCACGGTGATCAGGCTGTAAGGTTTTATTACATTCTCAAGGTACACTTAAAAGCCAGCAGTGAAGACAACATACTCACTTAGACAAGGAAAAGGCATCATCAATCAGCTGCAGCCTGTGGATAACAGGAATGGCCTGCAAATTAGATCCAAATTTGGGCAGGAAAAAATGAGAACATTTCTTAGCCATAAAATAATTCTGCAAAATCATAACAGTGTTTCAAGATCAGGGTCTCTTACGAAGCCCTTTTACGTGAATTGTCTCACGCACAGGGAAATGGTGATCACTGAGGATAGTCCCCATGATTTATTTATTATACATCTGGTTTTGATAAATGATCCCTCCGGACATCAATCATAAGTCTTTCATCTGGCAGAGAGTTTTGCCAAAAAACTCCCTGAAAAACATGGCAAGGTGAAAACAAAAATGGGAAGCCACGTTTAAAAGGCTCTCCAGGATAGAGAGTGTACGTTCAATTGCATTGCACAGTCCAAATAGTTGTCAGGAGAATTTTTGGCACGGGAAGCCTTAAGTATGTATTATTTAGCACTATTTTGGTAATACTGATGTCCTCTGAGCAGTGTCCGTCTTGTCAAGATTTTACTAATTTGATCCAATGCCACCAACAGAGCGGTTGGAATCACAAAAAGTCAGGGGTCCATTGCCAACACAATTGGTTAAGGTTGGGCTTGAGCCCCTTGGCATGGACAGGCCACAGGACTCTGTCTCAGCTAGAGGGGCCTCAGGGGCCCAGAGCCTCCTATTCCCTTCCTTCAACACCTCACGCATTTTCATGGGTTTGGTCCCAGAAAATCCATCTTCACAACACTCGCTTTGAGCTTCTCAGCAAGCCAGACTTCAACCTTTCCTTGGTCTCATTTCTTTTCTGGCAGTAATAACACTTCCATTTTCGAAATTAATATTAATAACAGACACGCTGTTTTATTTGCTCCCCAATTATGTAGTAGAAATAACTGACCTCAGTTTTTTAATAAGTAAGTCTACAATGGTTTCCAGAAATTATTGCTAGAATGGCATGCCCTTGCTTGCATGGCTTACAGTGCCCTTAGAAACAAGTAAGAGGGTAGCTACTCTGAAAAAGATTCAAAAATAAAATGTTATGATGTGTGGATTTTCCAGTATATTCAAAAGCCTCCTAATATATTTTTTTAATTACTGAATATGTTCTGGTAGGGAATTGGGTCCCACCTCTGTTAAACATGATACACGTATCACCTGACTAATCTTCACAATTCTTTATTTAACGTTGGTCTATTAAAACATCATTAGATGGATGGGAAAACCGAGCCATGAACACAAGTCTACCAGATGCAGAAGCCAAGCTCTGGACCAATACACCGAAGGTCATCTTCTGCTAGAGAGGTCGCTGCATGTTTCAGAGAACTCTCGAAGACAGAGACACCAAAGACATCTTTTAGCTCAATGCTCTAGCTTGAAGAATGGTGTCTCAGTGAACTAACTGCCCGTGGTTTGGGGGCAGAGCCAACTCTAGAGACTCTAGAGAGTCTGACACCAGCATCCATCTCCACCAGTGGAGATTTGGTTTAATTCAACCAATCAAAATCTGACTGACCAGAGCTAGCCAACATTTTAATATTTACATAAGGGAGAATGACTTATGTTTGGTGGTAAAGTGGTACTAGAGTCTATTGCTATTTTGTAAACTAAATTCTCTCAGGGAGAGTAAGAATATAATTTTTTTTAAAAAATTAACACTTTCTAGCATAGACTGGGTACCCATTAAGGGCTTAGAAACTGTAAGCATATGTTTACCTACATTGTCTCTAGTCCTCATGATAAGTAACAAAGTTGTATTGTTCCTATTTAAAGTGAAGAGATGGAAACAGAACATTTAAGTAACTTGTCTGAGATCACAAAACTAATGGTTAATTGGGAAAGGTATTCTGATTTTTACCTAGAAAGGTAAAATGGCTGAAAAAAATGATATTAATGGTCAAAAGCCCAATACATTGAACCTAAATCTGCCCTTTCTAAGAGTGAGGGAAAAAATCCAGTATGGCTTGGGGTTAGGGAAGGACAGAGTCTCTTCTCACCAGAGGGGTTTATGAAAGCTTGACTCTACAAGACTTAAGAGTGCATTATTAATGATATTTAATAATACATATAAAAAGCAACCTTACCTTAGGATCTTTTTCAAGCTGTTGATTTAGCTTCTTCCAACCTAATGTATCATAGTTAACTCTGTAATATCCAGTCATATTCAAATTTAGAATCACCCAGTCATGATCATAAGCTGAAACTTGCATTTCAGGGAATATTTCTACAAAGGGATATGGGAAAAGTGTGAAATGGTACATCTAAAAAAATTTTCCAGTATATGCTTATACTATATCCTCTTAATCCTCAACAATAAACCCAATGCATCCAACAAAAAGTAAAGGAATTCTAAAATATATACTGATCTTACCATATAATTGTATTTTTTTCACATATAATGGCTTTTGATTTGAAACTTTTCTTTAAAGCTCTCTATGTTAAATAATATTTTAGTTTTAAGCAAGATAGCTTTTCAAAGGCTATACGTTTCAACATTTTATTCTCTGCCTTTATATATGGGTGTAATATATATTCATGCATATATGTGAAGATATTTTATAAATCTTACTTACTGCTGCTTTTATCTAGCCAGACTAGAGACTGTGTAATTCCATTTTTTATCCAAAGAATAGGTACAATCCATGTGTCACTTATTAGGAAGAAACCAAAAATTCAGTTAATTTTCATACATAAGATATAAACTCTGAGCCCATATTAACTGAGATGATAAAATGACAGGACTCAAATTCTTTGGTCATTCTCTCTGGATAGGCAAGGGTTTGCTCTTAGGATTATTCACTGTCGTTTTTTCTTTTTTAAAGATTTTATTTATTTATTTGAAAGAGAAAGAGAGAGGGAGAGAAAGAGCACAAGGGTGTGGTGAGGGGCAGAGAGAGAAGCAGGCTCCCGGCTGAGCAGGGATCCCGATGCGGACTCGATCCCAGGACCCTGGGATCACGACCTGAGCCAGGTACTTAACCGACTGAGCCATCCAGGGGCTCTTCACTGTTGTTTTTATAAGCTGTTTTTTCTTTGGCCATTTGTTTATTCTCTATTAGTCTGTCTTCCTCTTTACTTTTTCTTATAACTTAAGGTGGCTACTAAGACAATCTTGTATCTGAATTCCTTCCTTCCTTCCTTCCCTTCTGTTTCTTTCAATTTTTCTTTCTTTCAATCTATCTTCCTTCCTTCCTCCCTTCCTTTCTGTATCTGAAACTCTCAAGACCTGTTTATATTAAATTATAGCCACTTGGCCTCACTCAGGGGTTGTTCAATGCTGCAGACAGACCCAAACCCATCCGTGCCAAGAGAGGCAGAGTAATTTCAGAAGAAAAAGCTGGACAAACATTTTAAAATGCTTTTCTGCCTCAAGCTTTCTCCCCATCTGAAAAGCGTTCAGCATGGATCAGCCAGATTATTCATGTTTACTGAATGCCGACATTCTTCTCACATTGGTGGACGTGACCTGGAGGAAGGAGACGACCACAGGAGGACATTAGTCATCTGAAGAGTCACACTTCCTTGGGGTTTGGACTGGACTTGTGATCTTGCTCAAATGCTCACAAGTCTGGTTTCTTAAAGACTTTGAATGAGGGTCTGTGTTGATCTAACAGCTAAGGCACACATCTTCTCAAAAGTCACGGAATCGTGATGAGCACATGGTGATGTATTCAAGTGTTGAATCCCCACATCATACACTTGAAGCTCTCAGAACACTGGATGTTAACTAACTGGAATTAAAATAAAAACTTAAAAAAAAGTCACAGAAGAGCAGAGTGAGTAGGGACATTCAGTTCTGTTCTTCTTCCCTGGGGTTTTAAAGAAAGAGCAGGATGACCTCCATATTTGGGTGATAGTATTTGAAAATTACTCCCTCATTTACGCTGATACTTAACCACAGTGAGATGTGAACAACAGAACGTTATCCAACACACTTGAACATCGTCTGACAAGTTAAGAAAGGGAAGGGAAGAAGAGAGGAAGTGATGAACACTAGCTTTATACTCAGTTTTTCATTTCCTTTTGACAACAATCCCCTGGGATAGACGTTGCTGCATTTACTTTACAGATAAGGCGCTAAATAAAATTACGATTATTTGCATCAAAGTCTGTATAGTATATATTAGTCTATTATTTTAGCATCCATTTTATGTACCTTACTGCAAGAGTGCAAAACAAAAGGAAATATAGAACTGATTTTACCTTGTTGTAAGCACAAAATTCAGATTTTATATCAGAAGGTTTGAATTTTGGTGAGGCTGGTATTTAAGCCCAGGTATAAGGGAATCTAAAGGCCATAATTCTAATAGTATAAGCATGGCTATCAATATACACATACATGCACGTGTGGACATGCGCGGAACTATTCCTCAAGGACCAGGGACCATTCAGTTCCATTTCCAGGGGGAAAAAAAGACGACCTTGCAGCCGGATCCCCTTTTCTCTTACTTAACGTGAGGCCATGCTGGGTTCTATTTGACTGCCTCTCACCCAGAATCCTGAGTAATTCATTACTTCTGTCTGAAGGACAAAGAGGATACATAACCCTCACAGTTTTGTTTGCTGGCGTCATGCTAAATGCCGGGGGTGGGGCACTGCCTTGAGCCCCTCAGTGCAAGTCTCTGGCCTCGCTCAGGACATCAGGGGTTCCACCTCATCCTAGCACCCCAGGAACACCCCTCGCAGAGCAAAAGATGCCATCCCAGAGCCCCACTGCAGAAGAGTGGTACTCAGCCCGGTGTTAGGCTTCCTCACCCGCAGGCTGCTTTCCATTTGGTCGGAGCTCAACCCCAAGGAAGGTGAAGGCAGAGGAGCAAATGTACCTACTTGTGGGTTAGGAGAGTCTCATTTTTAACCTTTCCAAGATAGAACGGCTCTTGTTCAATGGCACCAGTGGATACATTTAAGGTGATAACTGGAAAACCACTCTGGTGGGTCCAACTGTCCATTATGCTTTTTACTGTCGCTGGCAAAAGAATTTTATTCTGGTCATCGATGACCTGTTTTAAAAAAATCATCACAAGAGCAGATATTTACATCAAAATCTTTTCAGGTAACCATCTCCCAAAAGAAACTACATGGCTGGCTCTTCTATTCTTCATTTATACAGTAATCCTCAGTGGGTGGTATTCAGGACCAAATTCAGAACTCTGCTCAACTCTCTATGTGAATGCTTCCTTAGTTTATTCATTCATTCATTCATTCACTCACTCAGTCATTCATTCATTCATTGAACACGCATATCAGGAAGTAGGACAATTACCATTTGAAAATGCCTCCATAAATCATCTTGCTCAGCATTTGAGTAAGAAAATGTCTTCAAATATGACTGTAAAAAATAGAGAAGTTAAAAAGAATGGAAAAGTTAAGGTTAAAATAAATAACATGCCCAAAACAATTTATGTTTCCTGCCTTCTAGGTAACAATTTTGTAAACTCACCTTGAGTGCACTGAGAAATAAATTCTCATTCAGGAAGCTAGAAAGCATTCGGGCCAAAGATGCTCCCTAAGACAAGAAACAGTCCATTGTTTGAGCAAAGTCAGTATATAAATACTGACACATTCAATTTTGATAAGCAAATTCTGGGTTTTTCTCCCGATTATATTGCGTACTTCAGTTGAATGTTTGGGTTATCCCCAAATATGCTGATAAAATAGTAGACTGTCACTAACTAATAGGTGAAAGGTGAACAAATGTTCTTCATATAAATAATTCAGGATACACAAAATATTTTAAGCTGAGATATTTACATGTTAAGGATAAATTTCTACCAAACAGAAGGGTTCACCTTAAAAGTAGCGAGTTGCCTCAGTGTTTTTATAATTATGGATGGTACTGAGCACCTAATATGGACTTGAATAATATTTGCTAGATGATGATAGATTTAACCACATTTTCTGAAATCCATTTGCTAAATAAAATACGATTATTTGCATCAAAGTTTGTATAGTATATATTAGTCTATTATTTTAGAATCCATTTTATGTACCTTACTGCAAGAGTGCAAAACAAAAGGAAATATAGAACTGATTTTACCTTGTTGTAAGTAAATAAGTCAAAGAGCTCATTTATTTCACTGGTTTCTGTGAAATTTTCCACCTTCATGGACACAGCTCTAGACACCAGGGCGTGATCTTCACTGAGGACATTATGTAAAATGTTAGAAAAAAAGATCTCATTCTAAAAGGAAAAGATTGAGCAACATTAACTTCTTCGGTATCACAGAAGCACAAAATTCAAATACTTTCAAAATACTTTCAAAAATACTTTCAGAAGGGGGTGGGGGGATGGTTAGCCTGGTGATGGGTATTAAAGAGAGCACGTATTGAATGGAACACAGGGTGTTACACGCCAACAATGAATCATGGAACACTACATCAAAAACTAATGATGTTAAGGTATGGTGATTAACATAATAAAATAAAATTTAAAAAATACTTTCAAAAACTGACACTGAAGAGGGGAAAAATTCATTCAGATGTGCTCTGTGAGCTGCCATATGCCAAATAAGGATTCCTTGAATAACAAAACCCTAAGATACTTTCCTTCCCATTTAATCCCCTTTTTATTTCCATTTTTAAAAACTCCATTACAGAAGTCAACATGTTTTCCAAGAGAGCTATCTACATTTCCCCAAAGGAGGTTCCCAATCATACAGACAAGACCCTCTAGGGAATAGCATCTCTAGGTGGTTTTAATCCTCTAGAATTGTACTGGTAATTTTATTCATAACCCCTTAAAATAGGTCAGTCTCTCTTCAGTGAACATTTACAGACCAAAACGCACCAGATTTACAAATTCGATGATGATGTCATAACTTGTAATTGGAAATAAATCCATGGGCTGCATACTACAGTTTCTAGATCATGCATTATGAGAAGGCAATTTATTATATTCGAATAAGTACAGAACTCTCCAGAAAACTAGACCTCTCTCAGACAGAGGACAAGGGCCATTTCTTTTTCGAAGGAAAGGTAGAAGAAAGACCAACGTACAACCAAAGAGGTGTGGGACATGGCAGAGCCAAAGAAAGGATAGTGGCAAAGAAACAGCACAGATAGCTGGCTCCCACCCTGCAGAGGTGGGCGAGCCCCCTCATAATCCACAAGCAGCCTCACCTCCCTAGCGGCTATCTCTGGGGCCCCCAAGTTGACTCCTTCAAATTCTGCCCACTTCCACTGGCCAACATTCCAACCAACCCTCTCCTCTTAGCATATTATTTTCAACTTATTTACACATTGATTAGGCTACTGTCAAACTCAGCTCTTCCAGAAATGAGACAGCCTGCCATTTAGAGCAATATATCTCAAACTTTAATGCGAATAAGGATCCCCTGGGGATTTGATTGCTTCATACGTGAATGCAGTTGGTCTGGGTTGGGGTCTGTATTTCTAATCAACTACCTGATGATGCTGATTGCTAGTGTGACAATCCCGCTTTGAGTAGCTAGGAGTTAGAGGAGACATTTGTGTAAGTCTGATCTTACTCATTCAGTATAGGTTTTATTAGTTTAACACTCAAGCATTCTTGAGAGTGTCTCACAGTTGACCCACGTGTCCTCGAAGTACAACGTGGAAAACAGAGGAAATAAAAAGCACCCATAATCCTACACTCCAAGATAGTCAACATTAGAATGTCAGTACTGTTCTTTCCAATCTCTTTCCCTAAGTATTTATTTATTCACATGGACGTAAAAACTTTTGTCCTGCTTAATTATTATGACATTCGTTTAAAAATTCTGTTACCTCATCTTCATAACTATCCCTAAAAATGGCTACTGCATTATAAATGAAACATACATAATCTGGAAGGAAACAAGCCAAAACTTAATAGTGATGAACACAGTGTGGTCAAATCACATATGACTTCCTTCTTCCCAAAGTGGAGCAGATAACACTTCTGTAAAAGCAAAACATTAAAACAAATAAATGCATGGTTGCAGAAGGGCCCACTGAGTCAATGAACCATAACTGACTTCATCATTTCCCTATTAGCTAGACATTTAAATTGCTTCCAGCTTTTTAGTGTTTTAAACAATATCTTAACGAACACCTTTATGCATAGCCTTTTGCATATTTTGTGAATTCCCTCCCTCCCTCTCAGAATGGATAGTCTGTCTTCTGTCTGCCTGGTGTAAGATCTTCTATCATCTTCTTGGTATCTCTCTCATCACACAAGTTAACTGTGATGAATGGGGCAAACACCTTCTCCTCAACATCCCCAAATCTTTCTCCTCTGGGCTTCCCATAAGGTGACTCTTGTCCCAGCCTGTTCCAATCCTGCTGGACGGAAACACACAAAAAGTGATGTTAGACTTTTAAAAAATCGTATTTGGCCACTGAATACAGTGATAGGGGAAACTGAGTCTGTATACCCACCATTACTTTCTTCCTGCAAGCTGCAAGCGTCTAGAAAAAAAGACCTCCTCATATTAACTCTATTATTATCCTGAGAAATATAACAGTATTTATTATAATAAATTTACATGGAATATCACTGTGGTGAAAAGCACAGGATTTGAGGCGCCTGGGTGGCTCAGTCGGTTAAGCATCTGCCTTCGGCTCAGGTCATGATGCCGGGGTCCTGGGATGGAGTCCTGCATTGGGTTCCCTGCTCAGCGGGGAGTCTGCTTCTTCCTCTCCCATTCCCCCTGCTTGTGCTGTCTCTCTCTCTCTCTCTGACAAATAAACAAATAAAATCTTAAAAAAAAACAACAAACACACAGGCTTTGGAGTTGAGCCACCTGGGTGTGAATCCTACCTTACCCTCTTTAGACTTGTGTTACTCATAAAAGGAAACCAACTTTAGCTCTTTGAAACTCGGTTTCTCCATCTAGAAATGGAGGAAACAACACTGTCCTCCTTGGGTTATTTTCAGGACTAAATTAATTTACATAAATGTCTTAGCACAGTGCCTGGCAAATAGGACCTGTTCAAGAAGGTTTAGCTACTTGCAATTACTTATCATCATCATCATATTTCTTTAGAGTTGTTTCAGTATTGAATCAGATAATGTAAACAATACTCTATAACATGAGCACTTGGTAAATAGTAGTTGTCATGATGTTATGTAGTAGATAACAATGCGTTGAATGACTGCATGAAACTTTACAAATGAGAAACTGAAGCTCAGAGGTGTTCAACTTACAATGATTCTTATTTTTTTAAAGATTTTATTTATTTGAGAGAGAGAACACAAGTAGGCAGACAGGCAGAAGGAGAAGCAGGCTCCCCACTGAGCAGGGAGCCCGATGCGGGGCTCGATCCCAGGACCCCGGGATCATAACCTGAGCCGAAGGCAGATGCTTAACCGACAGAGCTACCTAGGTGCCCCACTTACAATGATTCTAAAACCAGAGTAGGATCTCACTGGCTGCACAGCTCCCACGTGCCCTTCCCTCCACCAAGACTGCTGCTTCCTCAGCCCAAGCCTAGGAAGAGAGACAGAAAAGCTGGGGGAGGGTAGCAACAGAGTTGCGTCAAACCACTGGTCCCCAGTGTTTTCTGAATCTGTGACCAGGACCCATTCATAACACGTTTTAATGACTTTCAGCTGAAATTAGACCAAGAAAGAAAAGATGGAAATCTGTTTCTGCATATGGCTCTGTGATTCTCTTCCCCAATGTCAATTAAATGACCAGGTTAAAAGGAAACCAAAGCTCTTGATCTCTCAAAGATCATTGAACTAAGGCTTTCAACTTTTAAAAATCAAAGCTCATGGCAATTGCCTCAAGCGACAGGATCTGATATTCTTTTGCCAAGGGTTATATTCACTCAGCTCCACAGACACTGAGAAATGTAGACTCACAACAGAGTGATTAAGGGGGCACCTGGGTGGCTCAGTCGGTGAAGCATCTGCCTTCGGCTCAGGTCGTGATCCCAGGCTCCTGGGATCCAGCCCCGTGTCGGGCTCCCTGCTCAGCAGGGAGTCTGCTTCTCCCTCTCCCTCTCCCTCTGTGTGTGCTCTCTCACTCTCTCTCAAATAAATAAATAAAATCTTAAAAAAAAATAAAGAGCAATTAAGAAACCAATGATTAAAAGAGGTTAATCTTATCATCTTTGTTTCAAAAACACTAGTAATATATCTTCATCAAATTTTCCCAGATTATGACAATACCTTAGCCAATTTCAGTTGCATTAAGAGGTAACTGATGTTAATGATATATTCTATTCAATTAAGAAAATAAAGGGTGAGGGCGCCTGGGTGGCTCAGTTGGTTAAGCGACTGCCTTCGGCTCAGGTCATGATCCTGGAGTCCTGGGATCGAGTCCCGCATCGGGCTCCCTGCTCGGCAGGGAGTCTGCTTCTCCCTCTGACCCTCCTCCCTCTCATGCTCTCTGTCTCTCATTCTCTCTGTCTCAGATAAATAAAATCTTAAAAAAAAAAAAAAAGAAAGAAAATAAAGGGTGAATCTAATTGTTTCATGGGGATGCAACTGCTTTTCTTATTGAATCCAAGCAGAGTTAATTGGGGATGCGACCAAATGCTTTCATAAACAGTTATCGGTGACATGAACCATGCATAGGTTCTATCTTATAAAAGAGAGACACAAACAATTTTATAGCTACAGAGTATATGGAAAGGACTTCTGAAGACAACGAAAGTTTACTCTACATATATAAAGTTTATATAAATGAAGAGAGTCATATCATGAACTCCCACACACCTCCTATTAGCTCTTGGGGGACAAGAACACTGCCATGTGTTTTCTCTGTGGAGCACATTTGGGTGAAGGCGTAACTGTGGAGTTAGAGACATCTGGAACCGAATCTCATCTCCGACATAGAGTAGCCGTAAGACCTTGAACAGCTTACTTAATGCTCCTGCGCCTATTTCCTCAACTAGAAAATAGAGTGACAACTACACTCAGATGATTGTTTTGGGAATTGAGTAAGATGACGTACGTACAAAACTCAAACTACCTGGGACTTACGTCCTAAGTGCTCAGAGAATAGGAAACGCAGTATTATTGTTATTATGGTCATTACCTTCGTCATCAGACTAGCCCCGGACAACTGGGTTATAATCACAGTTCTGTCCCCATCACGCAAATGACTTCAGCAAGTCACCTAACCATCCGGGACTTCAGTCTCCTTATCTAGGTGAAGATGCCCAATCCAGGGGAGGCAGAGTGGCTGGACTGCGGGGTGGCTGGTGATCTATACCAACTCTGCAAAGCATAGGTGGGTGGCATGGAACAGGGATATGAAGAGGCTGAGACCCCAGTGCTTCCCACAAACTGCGATGTCACGAACATGTAAAAAAAAGGGGGATTTTTCGAGAAAGTTTCTGAGGGGTCAAGTTAGGTTTGCCAACTGTGTGATTCCACCAAATAATCAATAAAACCCAAATATCATCTATCTACCATCTCCATCCTTTCCTAAAAAGGGGAAATTTTATTGCTAATAGAATAGGAAAAACATCTTAGGATCTCCTTCAAAGTGGGCGGTATTACATTTCACCTGTAATAAAGATCTGGCCAGTGGAGATCAATCAGTCTTTCAAATATCAATATAGTGAGTGAGGATGGGGAAAGAAGAAAAGAAGCGAAGAACCAAGCTTGGAAACACCGGGAGGTGGGATGAGGGACAGGCCAGTCAGGAGCAGTAGGATGAGCAGTCTTGAGTGTCAGAAAGGTGGAGGGAGGCAGGGACAGAGAGAAAGCAGGGACCTCGGGCTTGCTATCAAGAAGTGAGGTACATGTTAAAGAATGATATTACACCTAAAGATTTAACTCAAATTAAAGCAATTCCGTTTTATCATGCCATTCTGAAAGCACTACCTAATTAATCTACGTGATTGACCAGAAATAGAACTTACAGTTGAAAACATCAGATTTGCATATTCGTGAATTTATATTTTCAGTTTACTATTTATTCAAAACAGCAAAATGGGATCAGCTACAATATATGTGATACCAGTTACACAGCTGATCTATCCAATATTTTATAATCTATACTATAGCATATTACTTATCATTAAAGTCATAGGCTACTGATTACAATGGTTTTAAAATTGAGTCTGGTGAAAATGACCTAAAATCTAACAGTAGGGAAAGATAATAGGCATATACCTTATAAGGTGATAAAATAAAATATTAGGCAACCCTTAAAAATCTTGTTTTCAAAAATGATTTAATGATTTGCAGAAATGCTCTTGATATAATATGAAGTACAGAAGACATTACACGTATCTGTGTAAAAACGTAATTCCCACTTCTATGTATATTTACAATGAGTAAAAGCCTGGAAAAAGAAAACATAAAAAAGATAACACTGGTCATCTCTGGTATCACAGGTAATCTAATATGCCTTCCATTTTTCTGTATTTTACACATTTGAAACAACAAAATACATTAGTTTCATAATTAGGAGAAACAGTTAATAAGTAAACGTAACAGACATACTTACTCTTGGGAATTTAGGATTGAAGTAGTTAATTACTCCAAATTCAAAATAAGATGCAAAACCCTCTTTGAGCCAGATATCATTCCACCAATTCATGGTAACCAAATTTCCAAACCACTTTTGGAGATGGGAGAAAAAAGAGCTTTCTTAAATTTAATTTTAGGAATATTTATTGTAATTGCATGTTAAATACATAGAAGGTCAAAGACATAATGAAACTATATTTCCCTCAATAACAGAACTGGAAAACAGGACCCCAAAAAACATGTTGTGGTTTTAACATGAAGAGGTATCAGTCATGCATTTCCTTAAAATAAGTATTTCACATCCAATGATTGAAAGCAATTTTTGTTTTAAAACTGTCATGTTCAAAGATAAAGGTAAGCTAGAGTAGCATGTCTGAAACCGTCTACTTCCTCAAGGGTTATGTTAATCTAAATAAGGCAAAAGTCTGGAATATTCACCCAACACCTACTAATTACAGCATCTTAGAGTCTAAATAGACTACATCAAAATTTTGCAGTAAGCAGTTGTGTTGTCTTAAGAACATGTTTTGATCTGCCCCATGTCCAAGTCACTCATATGTTCTGCTATAATTATTTTCTATTTGAGCTTAACAGAAACAAAGTGTCAAATGGACGATGAATGGAATCAGGAAAGAAAAACACAATAATTTCTAACACCAACTAATCTGTACCCTAGTATTTAATCAAATTCTTGCAATAGCTGTCATGCATTAATAGCTAGCAGCCGGTCTTTCAGAACAATGTGCTGCTTGAACAATCATAAAAAAATGGCATTTTGGGTGACTGACCGAAACTTGTCAAAATTTGTGTTGACTATGCAACGAAGTGTTATTCTATCCCGATAGATCATTCTTTCCCAAAACGTCTTGTGGATCTACATAACAAGAAGATAATAATTTCCTTGTTTAGATAATTTCCTTCTGGACAAATTTGTATTAATGGAGTCAAGGTCAAAAAGCAGATGGGAGAACCTCCATCAAACACATAACTAAGCTTCTAAGATCACATTGTAAAAGCACAGATCTAATGAAATAAATCGTTGTTTACAACACCTCTGGGTTATGCGGCTTGAGGATTGATGATTGCTCATCTCACTGACACCTTAACCAATTGCCTATATCCCCCTTGAGCCCCTCTTCAGACAAAGCAAAAACAAAGTTCAAACAATCTACTGATGAAATGTGGATATCTTTCAGTGACCTTTTTGAATATTCCTTATTTTAAGGTGGAATGAAAACAAATAATCATAGCTCTGGTTGGCTTACTTTCCCTGAAGAGGGCTCCCTGGAGTGAAGTTTACTTTTGGATGCAAATATCTGAACTCTGAAGGGCCTGGGAGGTCTCATCGCTATGATCCATCACCAATAGTTCAAATTCACACAAGATCTGATTACATAATCTTTCTTTCACTGTCCCACTTCTTGAATAATTTTTTAAAATTTGGTGTACCGTAGAGGTTTTATTTTGTTTTTTGCTATCCTTGGTAGAACAGCTAGAGAATATCTTCATGTGAAATAAGAAAGAACATTTTACCACATGCCTGATGTCCGATCTCGTGGGAGAGAATGAAGGAGATCACAGCCTTTTTGTCTGTTACTTGATCATTTGGTTGCATCAACAATAATGACTCATCGAATATCAATAGTCCCCAATTTTCCATTGCACTGTTGTCAAAAGTAGGCAAGGCAATTATATCTAAGTGGATTTAAATGGAGGGAAAAATGAAATCATCTCTTCCAAAAAGTTTGAGATTTCCAGCTATAACGGTCTCAAAATGAAATCATAAAATTACTAAAAGAAAATACAAATGAATATTTATAATGTGAGGGGAGAGAAGACGAATACCAAAGACGGAAGCCAGAAAATAAATGGTTCTGATTGTCTGAAAATCAAATACTTTTGATAAAGGACCTGTACAGAGAAATCTTAAAACTTCACCATAAAAAAATGAACTTTACAAAATGGGCAACAATCAATCTAAAGAGACATTTCATTGCATAAAATAGGCAAATACACATATGAAAAGATGATCTACATCCTGTGTCACTGGAAAATTGCAAATTAAAATAATGAGATACAACTATACACCCATTAGGATGGTTTAAATCCAAAACACACTACCAAATGCTGCAGAAGATATGGAGGAGCGGCAGGAACTCTCACTCATTGCTGGTGGGAAGGCAAAGTATAGCCACACTGGAAGACAGTTTGCCAGTTTCTTATAAAATTAAATAAAGGCTGGCCGTACAGTCTAGCAATTGAGCAATTGAGGTTATTTGCCCAAATGAGTTGAAAACTTAAGTCCACACAAAAATTGGCACAAGAATGTTTATAGCAGCTTTATTATTTTTTTTAATTTTATTTATTTATTTGAGAGAAAGAGAGCATGCCCATGAGCGGGGGGAGTGGCAGAGGGAGAGAGAGAGCAGCAGACTTGCCACTGAGCTGGGAGCCTGACTCCGCTTGCGGCTCGATCCCAGGGCCCTGGGGTCATGACCTGAGCTGAAGGCAGACGCTTAACTGTCTGAGCCACCCAGGTGCCCTATAGCAGCTTTATTTGTAATTGCAAATAAAAAAAAAAATCGGAAACAACGAAGATGTCTTTCAATAGCTGAATGGATACACAAATTGCGGTATATCCATACAATAGAGTGTTATTCAGCGATAAAAAGAAACGAGCTATCCAACTATGAGAGGACAAGAAGGAACTTTAAATGCAGGTTGCTAAGTGAAAAGAAGCCAGTGAGGACAAGGCACACATGGTATGATTCCAACCATGTAACATGATGCAGAAGGTAAAACCAGAGAGACAGTAAAAAAATTGGTGGTTATCAGGACTCTGGGGAGAAGGGGGGCAATGAGCACAGGGGATTTTTATGACAGTGTAACTACTCTGCATGATACTGTAATTTTGGATACATGTCATTCTACATTTGTCAAAACTCATAGAATGTATAGCACCCAGAGTGAAACCTAACATACATTATGGGCTTTATTTAACAATATTTTATCAATATTCGTTCATCAATTCTAACAAATGTAACACTCTAATGCAAGATATTTACAGTAGCAGAAAGTGTGTGGGGGAAAGGGCAATGGGGAGGTGGTAAATGGAATTCCCTATACTTGCTGTGTAATTTTCCTTAAATCTACAAGTGCTCTAAAAAATAGTCTAGTTCATTTTTTAAAAGATTTTATTTATTTATTTGAGAGAGAGAGATAGTGAGAGAGAGCAGAGCAGGAGGAAGGGGAGAGAGAGAAGCAGGCTCCCCACTGAGCAGGGAGCCCAACGCAAGGCTTGATCCCAGGAGCCTGGGATCATGACCTGAGCCGAAGGTAGATGCTTAACCGACTGAGCCACCCAGGTGCCCCAGAAGTAGTCTAGTTAAAATGAAATATTTTAGTTCACCAAAAGACACTATAAACAAATTTGAAAGGCAAATCACAAGCTAGGAAAAATATCTGCAGCATATATAACAACTAGATAACTTTTTTTCATATCTAAAAAAAAACCTCTTACAGATAAAAAAAAAAAAAGTGAACAATTCACTTTAGAAATAATTCAAATAGCCAAAAATCTTACTTAAAATGTTCAACTTTGGGACGCCTGGGTGGCTCAGTTGGTTGGGTGACTGCCTTCGGCTCAGGTCATGATCCTGGAGTCCCGGGATTGAGTCCTACATCGGGCTCCCTGCTCGGCAGGGAGTCTGCTTCTCCCTCTGCCCCTCCTCCCTCTCATGCTCTCTGTCTCTCATTCTCTCTCTCGCAAATAAATAAATAAAATCTAAAAAAAAAAAAAAAATGTTCAACTTTATCAGAAACACAAATTAAAACAATGATATAACTTAATCTTTCAAATGTGTAAGAGAATTAATAATTAGTACTGCTAATATTAGTATTAACAATTAGGTACAGGAAAACTGGCATATAGCCTGTTGGTAAGGATGTGACTGCTACAATCTTTCTGGAGTGATCCAGCAAAATGCTTCAGAATTTTTAGAATGTTTCTACCCTTTGACTAACTCATTCAACTTTTGGAATTTATACTAATGCAAATAGCATGGATATTTATAAACATTCCCTATGTTTCCTTTAGTGTTCTTAAAGTGGCCAAAAAAGGGGGGAGGGCATGCAATTAGTCCAAATGTTCAACCAGAGGGTTAAATTATTTTGCCAAATTGAAATGTAGGCATTCTATGTTTTAAAAATGACAATACAGGGGCGCTTGGTGGCCCAGGTGGTTGAATGTCTGGACTCCTGGTTTTGGCTCAGGTCGTGGTCTCGGGGTCCTACCATTGAGCCCCATGTCAAGCTCCATGCTCAGTGTGGAGTCTGCTTGAGATTCTCTCTCTCCCTCTGCCCCTCCCCCTGCTCACAGACACACACACACACACACACTCTTTCTATCTCTCTCTCTGGAATAAATGAATACATCTTTTAAAAAATAAAAAATAAAATAACAATACAAAAGAATAGTTATCTGGATCATGTTGCCACATAGAGTTACCTTTTAAAATAAAACAAAACAAAAGGCCACTCAAAGAAGAGTCGCAATGCTATGGTTCCATTTTTGTTAAAAACAAAGAAGCAAATGCAGAGATTGAGACTGCCCAGACAGCGGGAAAACAGACCCAAAATGTTAGCTGTGGTTATCTCTGAGTGGTAGCATTATGGAAAATTTTTATTCTTTTTTGTGCTTTCCCCAATTTTTCCAAATTTTCTATGGTGTGATCATTTACTAGTTTTAAAACTAGAAGAACAGGGGCATCTGGGTGGCTCAGTCAGTTAAGCATGTGATCTTGATTTCGGCTCAGGTTGTGATCTCAGGATAGTGAGATTGATCCCCTTGATGGGCTCCGAGCTGGGTATGGAGCCTGTTTAAGATTCTCTCTCTTCCTCTGCCTTTGCCCCTCCCCCACCCAAAATAAAACTAGAAGAACAAGAAAACATTTTACCTTCTTTTGCTAATAGAAGAAATGCCATTTTTATAACGTGTGCTACGTTTGCCTAATGAATGTTCTGTGCTGTGTTCGATATATTATGTTGATTTATACATGGTTGAAGATGGCATGTGCCGTAAAATGTATCTAGGTCATTACATAGCCTCTGCTAGTTAATGCTCTATTATCTTTGGGCATACTTAATTGCTAAGCGTAGGTTGGAACTCCTCTACCTCCCTTTTCCTCCACCTGCATCCATCCCCCCTTCCATCAACCCGCTCACTTTCCTTGCAAAGTCTGCTCTGCTCCACTCAAGCCAATCCCTTTTGCTCTCTACAACTGTTGAGCCATTCTCTGCTTGAGTTGTTTGGTGCCCCAAGCAATCCTCTGTTCAATCTATGAATGCCCGCAATCTTTGCTGGCCAATCTTAACCAATTCTAAGAAGCCATTCCTTACTAACTCCTGATAACGATTTTTACCTTCAGATGCACAGAATTGGGAGTAAGCAAATTCTTGTTTCTTGATCAACTATCATCATTGGCTCACACAGAACCCTGTTTTATTTTATTTTAATGATTACCTCATTATTTTAAAATAAAGACACCGGGGCGCCTGGGTGGCTCAGTCAGTTAAGCGTCTGCCTTCCGCTCAGGTCATGATGTCGGGGTCCTGGGATTGAGCCCCTCATCGGGCTCCCTGCTCACGGGGAATCTGCTTCTCCCTCTCCCTCCCTGTTTGTGCTCTCTCTTGCTATCTCTTTCTCTCTCTCTCAAATAAATAAAATCTTAAATATAAACTAAAATAAAATAATGATATAAATACCCATGAATCCGCCTCTCTCCCTTTAGAACAAGGTTGGCAAACCCTTTCTTTAAAGAGCCAGATAGGAAATATTTTCAGCTTTGTGGGCTGTATGTTTTCCATCACATTTTTAACTTTGGCATCGCAGAGCAAAAGCATCCGTAGACACCATGTAGGCAAATGAAGCGTGCTGTGTTCCAATAAAACTTTATTTATGGACCTTGAGATTTGAATTTCATATAATTTCCATGTGTCACAGAATATTCTTTTTTTTCCCCCCCAACTGTTTAAAAATGTAAAAACCACCCTGAGTTCGTGGCCTATCCAGAAAAGGGCAGCGGGCCAGATTTGATAGCTTGCCAACCCCTAACTGAGAATGCTGCTAATAACTCATACTGTGATTCCCAGACCATTGGCATTAGCAGAACCTGGGAGCTTATTAGGGATGAGAATTCTGGGACCAACCACAGACCTACTGAAACAGAACTTCTTGGCTCAGCATCTGTGTTTTAACAAGACTTCTGGATGATTCCAACACACGCTGAAGTTTGACAAGAGCTGACTTACCTCTCTCTGTGTGCTCCTTCTCAGCTCACACTTTAGCGTCTTCTTCCAGCAGCTAAGTCACTATCCTCAAGTTTAGGGGGGTTTGTTTTGAAACTTTAGAAAAACAAAATGTTTCATTCTCATGGCCATAGTTTTTTTGTTGTGTGAATGAAACCTAATTTATCTATCCATTCTCCTAACCACGACCATTTTTGATTGCTTTCAGTCTAGGGCTGTATTAAAAAAAGTTAACTATGAATGTTCTTGCACATGTCTTCTGGTACATATGTGCTCAGATTCCTCTTGGAGATGTAATTAGAACCAGAATTCCTGGGTTTTAAGGTATTCTAATGATCAGCATTGCAAGACAATATGTTTCAAAGTTGTTGTGATGGCCATTTCCTAACATTTGGCATTTGTTAGATGCCTACTTTTTAACAAGTGAATAGGTATAAATAGGTATAAAATGGTGCCTCACCTTGGCCTTGGACATTCATTTGTTAGATTACTAATGAGGTTAAAGAACTCTGCATGAGTTTAGGGCGCCTGGGTGGCTCAGTCATTAAGCGTCTGCCTTCGGCTCAGGTCATGATCCCAGGGTCCTGGGATCGAGCCCCACATCGGGCTCCCTGCTCAGCGGGAAGCCTGCTTCTCCCTCTCCCACTCCCCCTGCTTGTGTTCCCGCTCTCGCTATCTCTCTCTCTGTCAAATAAATAAATAAATAATTAAAAAAAAAAAAAGAACTCTGCATGAGTTTTTTAAGCCACATGTGTTCCTTTTTCTGTAAAACATCTATTCATGTATCTTTTCCTTGTTTCTTCTTCTGTATTGTTCTTATTTGTAAGTATTCTTTATTATTTAGGGTACTCCCATTACCACTTCTTAATCTTCTTTCTCTTAAGACTTTCACTCAGCCAGTCCAGCATCGCTCGCTCGGTGATGCATGGCTTTTGTTTCTACATACGGAAGCTACCACCCCAACTCAGCTCTGTTTGAACAGAGCCCCAGCCACCTACTCCTCTTGCATTCAGAAAGCACCAGGATGGGTGCCCGGTGGCTCCGTTGGTTAAGTGCTGGACTCTTGATTTCAGCTCAAGTCATGATCTCAGGGTTCTGAGATCGAGCCCCGCATCAGGCTCCATGCTCAGTGGAGAGTCTGCTTGAGATTCTCGCCCTCTCCCTCTGCCCCTCCCCCTGGCTCTCATGCACACACACACTGTCTCTCTCTCTAATAAATAAATAAATCTTTTTAAAAAATTAAAATAAAATCCGCAAATCTCAAAAGCCCATATTTATTACTTTTTTAAAAAACAAGATGTATTTATTTGAGAGAGAGAGCATAAGCAGGGGGGACCAGCAGACTCCCCATGGAGCAGGGAGCTCGATGCGGGGCTCAATCCCAGGACCCTGGGATCATGACCCGAGCCGAAGGCAGATGCTTAACTGACTGAGCCACCCAGGCACCCCTGTTTTGTACTTTTTAAATGGCTCAACCAAGAGTTAAAATAACTAGGAAACATTTGTTTCTCTATCTTTTAAAGATCCAATAATAGAAAACCTCCTTATTTTCATCATCTGTTAAAATGCAGTTGTGAGCAAGTGCTACCTGCGTTTCACATTGGTTGAGAGGCTATGAAGGATATAAAAATGTGCCAAATATAACCCTGATTTCCAGAAGTTGACAATCTAGTCAGAATTTACATGGAATTACTGAACTAAGTGCATGTATTGATCCCCTTCATCAAAAAAAAAAAAAAGTTTACTGTTTACCATTCTGAAAGAAGCACTATCCATAGGCTCTGAGGGTACAAAGAAAAAGACAAGCCAGATCCTGAACCCGCGTTACTCTTGATCTCATGGTGGGGGGGGGGAGTACAATTAGACTCTAGTTAAGTCAAGAGCTCCAATGGAGGGGTGCACAGGATGCTGTGGAAGCATGAGGAAAAAGGCATCAGGGAAAGCTTCCTGGAGGAGGGGGCACTAAGTGGAGAAATATATGAATTAACCAGTTGGGTAGACCTCATCGCAGGATGCGCAAAGTGCCTGTGCAAGAGCCTGGGGGAGAGGAGAAGAGGAAGGTGGAGGAGGGGAAAGAGAGGGTACCAAAGCCTCCTTCCAACGCTGAAGAACTGCCAAAAGCCCCGAGAATTTGGCAAGAGATGCACGGTTGTAAAGACAGACTATATACAGAGTCTGGACTTGATCCTCAGGGCGATGGGAAGCCACAGAGAGGTTTTAAAGAGGCCAATAATACGCTCATTGGACTTCGCTAGGGAAAGATCCCCTGTGCCTCGGTGTGGGAGACGGAATAGAGGGAGCAAGAGGGAAGGGGGTATAACCAAATGGGGCCTGCTGAACTACAGATGATAGTGGTATAAACCACGGAGAGCAGGGGGCACAGGGAGGAGGGGATGGAGATAATGAGGAGGAGCCTACTTTGATGAAGGGGTGCTTTATGGAACAGGGTGTGAAGGGTCACTGTGAACTGTTCCTTATCTAAATAAAGTCAAATGGAACTTTTCTTGCCTAGACAAGTGTCATCTTGAGATCCTCCGGCCACAGAAGCCTTCAAGCCCAGGCTTCTGATGCCCCCAACTCCCAAAAGGACAGGTATCACTCCCGGGATCCCTAACTGGGCCAAGGCTGCCTCATGCCCCATTCCTCCTGAACCAGCAAGCTTGAGCTACAGAGCCCCCGGCTCGCCAGGCCAAGTTCAGGAGGCTTGAATTCCCGGGTATGGACTTCCTACCTTCTTCCACCATCTGCCCATGTAGACAGGGCATACTTTTTCCAAGACTTCACATAACATGTCAGAGGAACAAAATACATTTACACAATATGCCCTCACGGTAGACAGAGAAAACACTGGACGACTTTCTGAGCTGAAGGGCTCACGCAATTTGAAGGACATACTCTACAGATCTATAAGCAATAAAACGTTCCCGGATTTTCTCGAGGATCCTAGTGTTCACAGGTGATTCCAATTTTATACAGTAAACGTTGACAGATAGGACCCCACGTCCTCTCCAATGCCTCACAGCTAAAGAATAGGAAAACAAACAAACAAACAAAACCCAAACAAACCCCACCCCACAGAAACCTACCCCTGACCCAAAACCTTCATTCACGGGAACTGGAGTAATTCTCGTAGGCCTGCTAAAAGGATCCAGAATATTGCATCACCCCCACGCACTGGGAGAAGAAAGGACAGAACATTAGACAAAGAGCAGGGGCTAGAGGCTGTGAAACTGGCAATGAACACCCAGGAGGAGTCTAAATCTTGAGGACACCTGCTGGGCACATGGCATCGTACAGAGAAATAGCAAACAGGCCCCTCCGTGTTCAGGAAGGTGTAGGACACAAGGCTGGGAGGTCAGCAGGGCTGCCCCCCAAAAGAGCAGCTAAATGCTGACAGTGGGTCTTTGGAGGCTCCTCTGCATGCCCTTTGACCTTAACCCAGGCCCCCCACAATAGGAAGTCCATTGCATCGGAAGGGAAGATAGCTCACCTGTTTTGGGAAGAGGGTAACTAATATTAAATAGATCTTCCAGAAAAGAGAAGATGGGACCTGTGAGGTTCAAAGCAAAGTCTGCATTTCCGTTCGCGATGGCGTCTTTCCGGGCCCAGATGCGTATCTAAATCAAAACAATGAAGTGGTGATTAGGGAAAGCAGTTGTGACTTGGGCAATGGGCAGCCTGCTTGCTCCAAATCCCTGATGCTCTGGAGTCAAAGCCTTACCTTTTCGGAAGAAGCTACGGAATAGAAAGTTGGCCGGTCACCCGTGAACGACATGCGGGGGTTACAGGGGTGCCGACCCCGTGCAGTAAAAAAGTCCACAGATCACTTTAGGGTCCCCAAAAACTTAACTGCTAATAGGCTGCTACTGACTGAAAGCCTTACCGATCATGGGAACAGTCACTTAATACACATTGTCTCTATTACACTGTTTCTTACAGTAAAGTAAGCTAGAGAAAAGAAGACGTTATTAAGGAAATCGTAAGGAAGAGAAAATACATTTACACTGCCAAACTATGCACAAAATCCGGGCATAGGTGGACCCGCTGGGTCCAAATCTGCGTTGCTCAAGGGTCAACTGGAAATGGGCAGATGCCCTGGAGAAAATCCAGAAGGCTGTTCGCTAAGATGTAAGCAGTGACTCTCTGGAAAGGGGTGTTATTTCAGTGTTTTACAGTAACGTGTCTAACTTTTGGAATTCGGAAATAATCCTTGGGCTAGTATCTACCCCCACCGAAAATGTAGACTCTGTCTTTGAGTAAAAGAGCATGTTGGACCCTTGCTTCCCTTTCTAGGACCTATTTCCAACGTTCCCAAACAGAATCGTGCGGTTAGCAGGGGTTACATGGTGTGGTAGAGATTACACACGTCTGCATCGTGCAAATTTAAAATGGTTCCTTCATGCTTATTAGTGCTGAGGTCATTAATAGGGTGATCTTGTCTTCGAAATTTTAAGTAAGGTTAATTCCCTTAATTTAAAGAAGTTCATCAATAGTTCTTTGATCTTACAGTGGTTGAGCAAGGGTATACAGTCTGTTTATGACACTTTCTCTTTAGTAGGTAAAGAGACATCCCTGCCTTGTTAGTTTAATGTGACCGACCTATTATTTGGGCCCTTGGAAATTGATTTTGCGACTTTGGTGGCAACTTTGCTCCTGTTTGACCATTCATTATTTTTTTTTTTTTTTTAAGATTTTATTTATTCATTTGACAGAGATAGAGAGCACAAGTAGGCACAGTGGCAGGCAAAGGGAGAGGAAGAAGCAGGCTCCCCGCTGAGCAGGGAGCCTGACGTGGGGCTCGATCTCAGGACCCTGGGAGCATGACCTGAGCTGAAGGCAGACGCTAAACAACTGAGCCACCCATGCGTCCTATTATTTTAATAGGAAATCATTTTATATCCCACAGCAAAAGCATCGGGGCACTTTTCTAATGGGGCTACTAGCGTGAAAACACCGAAGAACATGCACGAGACTCAAAAACCCTTGAACGAAAGGTCGAAATGAGGGCATTAAGATAATTGTCCTGATGTGAATACCGTCGATGTGAGGACGCGTTCTCTGCCAAACACTGGAGAAAGTGCTGGGAAAATGAAAAGCAGGACAATGATATTTCCAGCTTGCTGTGCTCCAGGAACGCATTCACCTTCCTCTGCTTGTATTTCTGCTAGAAAATTTGTCTTGAATTAGGTGACTTTGGAATTACGTGAGGTCTTCAGGAATGTTCCCCTCTCACAGAATGCAACCACCTGCTTCTGGGGCCTCCGACCTCATGCTTTTTGGCCTCCCCCACGCTGCAGGGGCCTCCTTCTCCCAGGAAGGAGGCCTCAGGACTCAGCCCTGCCCCTACATGGCACTTGCCCACCCCCCACCTCCAGTTCCAGGCAATAGGAAGACGGCTGCACCCAAACCCACACTGCGAGTGGAAAGAACATTCCCTTCTCCCCGCGTTCAAGATGGATGCATTTTCACTGTAACATCTGGAGAAATAACAGAACCTTTGTAGGTTCAATTTTCAGTTTCAAAACTCCTCCCCCAAACTACCATCCTATATTATAGCCAAAGGGGAAGCAAGTGATGGAGACTTCAAGCTGTGTGGGAGGGAGCTAACACCAAACAGTGAGGAACACTTGGAAGATGCAGCCGTAAAATTCCTTCAAATCCACACCTCGCCCCCCTCAGTGTGATCTTGGGGTCCTCCCTGCACCCAGCAGACCTCAACACCTAAGAGAGGAAAATCTTCACACGTGCCTGTGTGTGCCAAGTCCTACTCAAAAGATGTTATTTCCAACCTTAGGTCTGTGTTTCCAAGTTTATCCTCATGTCAAGGAATAGCCACCTTTTCAATCTCACTAAATTCTTATCTCTTCCTCGACAAGCAATTGTTTGTATAATCTGGACACTCTTCCAAGAGTACATTCTGGTTCCCCTGTAGGATAGACGGCAGACTCCTTCCCTTTGTAGAGAGCTGAGCCGGAGCCAAAGCAGCATTCCACTGATAAACTCATCCCAAATTTCAATCTTCTGGCGAAGAATGGGCCTTTCTTAGGCCTGTTCCGTTCCCTCTTTGCTTCAACGGCAGCTGGTTTTCTTTTCAGGGCTATCTTTCACCAAGAAATGGACTGGCCCCTTTTTCTCAAACTTTCTGCTGAAAGAGCAGCCCCAAGAGCCACCGGCCCCACGGGAAGCCCCATGATGCGCTTCCACATCATGCCCGAGGAGATTTCTCAGGAGGTGTCAGGAATGGTTCCCTTGGCCTGCGCTCCGTCTGTGTATCTCAAGGCCCCACCAGTGACTCTTCGGGAAGCGAAATCAGGCTGCAACCAATAGCTGAGGAGGAGAGCTGTGGTCTGCGTGGAACATGGTATTGTTCCGTCAGCCTGCAGAGGAGTAGCTCGGAGTGAGTCGCCCCTGGTGAGAGGCTTGTCTCCTCCACAGCCTCCTGATCTGCACAAGTCCATGGTACAAGCCTGGAAGATGCTGGGCCCGGGGAGAGAGTCTCCACCCTCTGTGGGAGCCCGATCTGCCTCAGGTCTGGGAGGTCAACGTGGTGAGACAGAACACGGCCTGCGGAATCGGCCTTACTTCCCTCCACGCTCCAGTGTGGGGTGTGAGCCAGATGGTAAAGGACTGCGGTGGGAACCTGGATATTTGCCCAGAAGGTGACTATAGAAGGAGGGTATGACTGGGTGAGAAGGAGGTGTTTTAGGACAGAGCGCCTCCTTCACCCAACTCTGAGGGAGCGCTGTGTTTCTCAGAGTTGAGCAAGCCCGCCGCCCTGATCCATCACCTGCAGGCACCGTTTCCATCATGTGGCTGTTCCCAGCTGGTGCCCAGGGCCATATGGGGCACTGGACACCCTGACTGTCACCCCCGCTTCAAGGCTGCATCACCTTGTGGACTAAATAGCAGGCAAACCTGAGTTTCAAGGCGTGAGTGCAGGAGAACTGTGGCGTCCCATCTGCAAAGCCACACTAGAGTTTCTTTCTTTGCTTTTTTTAAAAGATTTTATTTATTTGTCAGAGAGAGAGAGTACAAGCAGAGGAAACTGGAATGGGAGAGGGAGAAGCAGGCTCCCCGCTGAGCAAGGAGCCCGATGCGGGGCTCGATCCCAGGACCCTGGGATCATGATCCGAGCCGAAGGCAGATGCTTAACGACTGAGCCCCCCAGGCACCCCTCCCCCCACTAAGAGTTTCAAGAGGGCCTAGAAACAGTCAGAGGGGCCACCAGGAGGTGACATGGGAAACAGAGGCATGACCCCCGGATTCGGAAAGAACGGATGAACCACCCACAGCCAGCACGAAGGCACTCACCTGGGCTGTCTTCCTCACTCACCTCCTTGCCCCTTTCGGTTCTGTCCACGTGGGCATAGTCACATATGGCCAAGGCCACTAAGTAAGTCGGCATGTGGGGCGTCGTGGAAAAGGTGGTGACTGTCCACGTGCTTCCATTTGTGTCTCTCCTTGCAGACTGACCTACAGAAATCGATTTCAGTCCAAATCACTGTAAACCAAAGCACTAACAGCCACCTCTGAAACCATGTGTCCAGGCGCGTGTCACCCAGTGACTTCTTCCCAGCCAGTCCCCAGAGTCGAGCGGTTTGGATTTCTCCACCCCAAACTCATCAAAACCATATGAAGTGAAATAAGCCCGAGAAAGACAAATACCATATGATTTCACTGATGTGTGAAATTTAAAAGGCAAAACACATGAACAAACCAACCAAGAAACAAAAAAACTGGAAACTCATAAATACAGAGAATAAAATGGTGGTTGCCAGTGGAGAGGGGGCTGGGGCAGTGGGCAAAATGGGTGAAGGAGATTAACAGCTAAAGTGGGGAGGGGTGCCTGGGTGGCTCAGTCAGTTGAGCATCTGAGTCTTGGTTTCCACTCAGGTCATGATCTCAGGGTCGTAAGATCGAACCCTGCTTCGGACTCCATGCTCAGCGTGAAGTCTACTTGAGATTCTCCCTCTCCCTCTGCCCCTCCCCCTGCTAGCACTCTCTCTCTCAAAATAAATAATCTTTGAAAAAAGATCAATGCCACAGGGATACAATGTACAGCATAGAAGATAGTGACTACACTTATCATGGTGAACCGTGCATAATGTCACCTAATTGTCGAATCACCATGACGTACCTCTGAAACTCATGTAATCTTGTATGTCCGCTATACTTCAATTAAAAACATACAAACAAAGAAACGACATTAGGAAGATCTAGGGACAGCACCTTTGCTCTGAATCGGTATCTTGAGTAATATTGACGGAGGGCCAAATCCATGGGCACGTAGGTGAGGCCCACGACGCACCTCTTCTCTTTTCCATCCACTTCTACTGTTTCCTAGACCAGTCCAGCTCTCACAACACTTCATCTAGAGCCTCCCAGGCCCCCAGGAGGTCAAGGAAGGGCAATGTGGCCATTGTACGGTTTCGGCAAAGTCTTCAGTGGAGGCAGGCTGGGTCTTTAAAGCTGAGGGCCGGGTATCTGATGTGAATCAGGCTGGCATACATTAACAGGGAGTGGTGGGGACCACAACAGGCTGGGGGCCCCCCGTTCTGCAGGGGACAGCCTCTCACGAGCTCTAACTATTGCTGTCACGAAGGAGCTACATGCTTCGTGTCCTTATATCTTCTGTTTACAAGGAAGTAAAAATCTTGATTTTTATGAGAAATCTCTGGATTTTTTGAAGTTCAATCAGAAGAAAAAAAAATCGTGTGAGCCAAATGAAACACATCTGGGCACCAGATTCAGACTAAGTCTGCTAGCTTGTTATCACTAATGATCAATATTAAAGGCCAAACTAACGGGCAGACAGGCTGCCAAGGAATAAGAACAACGTGGTGTTCCCAGCTTCCAATGCAAAAAGAATCAGGATTTACCATCTCCGAGATGCTGGTGCTGATACAGACCCCAGGTAACTGCTCTCCCTAATTATAATACACTGCCGATACATAGCCTCGAAAAGCTATTGATATCAAAGGTATTAGAGAGTTAAATATCCATGCATACACATATATAGGTCTGTACACACACATATGTATCATTACTATACACGTATATATGAGGACAGGAAATATTACTTACCTAGTTTGGGCATGTTGGAAAGGGCCACATAGCTTGGGTGATGAATAATTGTAATATTAAAAGTTGCCTTTAGAGCTGGTTCATCAAAACAAGGAAACACACTCCTGGCAAATGTGGGTTCCATCTGAGACGCTAACAGGGCCCTGCAATACAGTTTTGGGAAAAATCTATTTATTTTTATTTCAAAGTAGGGGAAACAAAAAAAAAATACGGAGGGATGATGGCTTATAATTATATTCAGGGAGGAGCTGGAGTATTTCCCCTCATCTTCCTCACTGCCCTTCCAGTTAAAACACACACAGTTTAGTTCTCACCACACCTTGGAATTCTTGTAAGACCTAAAATACAAAAGACCTATTTAATTTTTGACCACAAAATACTATTTACTCATTACATCATATGCCTTTAAAACCCTCTGCAAACAAAATAGGGACAAATATAGCAAATACGCAATGAGGCTTTTGAGAACCAAGTTATTTTTTTAAACTAGGATTACTTTTTGGGGACTGGACTATTGTTCTCATCCTCCATTGAAATGCAAGCAATGTTTACTGGAGAATTTCTACATTTTTATCTTTTTCTCACATGGTCCCTCTTCTTCATGGTTGAAAACTTAGAAGAGGCTTCATTCTGCACCCGCTGGGGGTAAATGATCTAAGTACATGCCAAATGAAAAAAAAGAAACAAAAACTACTTTCATTTACATATGGGTAGATTTGTCAAATCCCTACGGCTCCTTCCCCGATCTCCATGGAAAAATACAAAGAGTGGCATTACCCCACAGTGCACTGGTGATTTATGGGGAAAACTTTAGGGACAAGAGTGCCCTGGGCAAACGAGGAGATTGTCAGGTTCATCCTCTGTAAACACGGCCAAAATCTGACAAGAGATGGGTCCTCACTAACAACTTTCTCCCCAAATAAACCTGTGGTCTCATTAAGACTTGGTGACCTGGGACCCTGATTTGGGATAACAATTGTGGATGCTAATTCTTTTTTTTTTTTTTTCCCTAAAGTCCTGAGACTTACTGTCCCTGATGCATTTACCCTTGTTTCAGGCCCAGCTCTTAAATAAATAACAAGGGAATTCAACAGGGTGTGAGAGAGTATGGCCCCTACATTATCACCACCTACCTCCACCATGATAAGGCCCCCACTCACATGAAAATTCACACGCAACAGTCCACACGCTCAAAAACCTCTCAAAGTCAGCCAACTTGAAGTGTTTATAACCTTGCTGTGACAAAACTGTAATTTTCAACAAGCCTGTTCTGCCCCACTTAACTTTGCCCTTGCTTCCACAGGCTGGAAGGCGGCCCGTGAACTCTGACATCCGTGAACTCTGACCTCAGCCACTTTGGCTGCAAGACTCTGCTCCATTTCGTGCTAGCTGAGCAAGCCTGAACAACCTGCCACACGTTCTTGCTGAGCCTCTGATTCCGCACCCAGAAAGGAATGGCACCATCAACCTTTTCTTGCTGTTTGAACTTTTACCTGATTAGCAACTGAATTTATCAATAAACCACCTACGAATTCTCCTATATTCCTTTCAATCTCCCAGATTGTTCTCCATATAGATGAACTGTAAAAGAGTTCAAGGAGGGATAAGTTACAGGGTAGGGGTGGAGGGTTGGAACATTGACAATTACAACTGCATTTAGACAGGTCTCAGAGGTCACGGCTGACCGCAAGCTGAATACGAACCACATTTGTCTTCCTAATGAAGATCAAACTTCCAGAAGTAGGGGTCACGTGTTTTCTCTTCAGTACCATTTATAATATTTGGCAAAAACATGCGTTCATAACAATTGAATAAGTACTTTCTCAGCTTTGGAGGGACTGCAAAATAAAGGCAGCTTGATCTAATATAGATAAAAGAATACAAAGTATTTTTACAGTGTCTGTTGCCCCAGGTATTTGTTTTGTAGTATTGGTTGCTATCTTTAAAAGACAGGTGATGAAGGAGCGAAGAGTCAAACAGTTGACAATATAGTGGAAAGAATATTGAGCAGCGAGGGGCACCCGGGTGGCTCAGTCAGTTAAGAGTCTGCCTTCGGCTCAGGTCAGGATCCCAGGGTCCTGGGATCGAGTCCCACATCGGGCTCCCTGCTCAGCAGGGAGTCTGCTTCCCCCTCTCCCTCTGTCTACTGCTCCCCCTGCTTGTGCTCGCTCTCTCTGACAAATAAATAAAATAAATTAAAATAAAATAAAAAGAGAGTAAACCTCTCTCCACTGCCACGATTTCACAAAGCATATGAATCTCAAGGAAGTTGCCAGGTGAGAAGGACAGAAAATCAGACTCTTCAGGCAAGGGGGAAAGTTGTATGCTCAACAAAAAGGGCTACTCTACCTCTGAAACTAATAATACATTATATGTTAATTGTTGATTTTAAATTTTAAAAAGTGGGGGCGGGGGAGCCACAGCTTTCAAAAAGGCTAAGAGATGCCCGCTCAGAGAGTCACCGCTTTAACAAACCAAATACCCAGCAAGTGCCTTCCCATTCCATGATTTGGGCCTCTGGAGAAGTGAAATAAAAGAAACTCTTGGATCTTGCTCAACTATTTCCCTCCCTGGTTTTTTACAAACAAACAAAACGGGAAAGATCCCTACAACACACAGCCTTGCTGGCTCTCAGGCTTATCTACCCAGGTCAGGACCTGCCAGCAGCATACACGACCTGGTTATGCCACATCTGGGAACTGAAGGATGGTACTTGTTCCCTGCTGTCTCTGCTTTGGACTCAAGCAACCCTGTAAGGATATCCTGACCTCGGAAAAAAGAACCATCCACCCTCCCCTGCCCTCAAAGCTCACTGAAACATGCTATTACAGTGCCTGGGAAGTCTGGGTTGAGAGCGGTCAGCTGGGGAGGGAGTTAATTTGGGAGAGTTTGTCTCGTAGGGGCTCGGGATTTCAAAGCTACTTTCCCGCCCTCTGGTACAGCCAGACAATCCTGGACTTGCCACATTTCTGTGCCGGAGGAGGTCTTCGGGGTCAAGACCACGTGATGTCCTTGGGGGTCCATCTCCTGCCATGTAAGAAACATCCCCTCACTAAGGTATTTCATTCCCAAGTATTGTATGGACACCATCTGCCTACAGCTCTAGCTCACAAGTGCTGAGTATTATAACTGGCCAAGGGTTAAGTAAGACCTGAAAGTGGTCCCCCTGAGTTGTTTTTGCACAACGACACACTCAGAAATCAAAATGTTTAGTAAAGATGGACGTTACACCACTGGTCTGTGGTTCAAGGCTTGGCCCATGAATCATGTTTGTTTATTACTTGTGTAACAGGATCTTAAAACTGAAGTTTCCACCAGGCAACAGGACATAATAGAGGTACAATTCCAGAGAAAGGTGCCAAACCATGTTATGAAGATTTTTGAAGGAGATGGCCTCGAGAACCCACGGGCCCCTCTTGGGCTTCTCAGGTCCATCAGAGATATATGGAAGAGGGTGCCTGGGTAGTCTGTTAAGCATTTGCTTTCGGCTCAGGCCATGATCCCAGGGTCCTGGGATCGAGTCCTGCATCGGGCTCTCTGCTCAGCAGGGAGCCTGCTTCTCCCTCTCCCTCTGCCCCTTCCCCCTCTGCCTTTGTACTCTCTCTCTCAAATAAATAAATAAATAAAATCTTTTTTAAAAAAAAGATAGAGGGAAGGAAGGTCAGGGAATGGAGACAAGAGATGAGAGGAGAGATTTCTCAGCGTGGGAGGGGCATAGTTTAGCAAAGCCCTCTTGATCTCAGGGTGCTGGGAACCCCTAACTAGGGTGAGCCAGAAGGGGAGAAGATCCCACAGAAAGCACAGAGCGTTTCCTGAGGCTGAGAGACTTGGAGGCTGGTACCCAGCTTCCAGGTGGGAAAGCCGAAATTGACACTGGTCAGAATCTAACTCCTACCAGGTAGGACTCTGAAAGGCAGGAGACTGACAGCTTTGGAGGCAGAGCCAGAAGAAGAGTGCTACTGTCTTAGGACCCACGTCAGCCCCAGTCAGGGATACATGAGTGTTCCTTGGAAGAGCTGTGGGCCCTGAGTCACGGAGTGAGCCAGTACGGGACCGACTTGGGTTCTGTCCACGGGGCCACCTGCAGGAAGCCGGAGATACACTACTGCATGTCCGGGGGTGGGGCTGAGGAAAGAGTCACTAATGACCATCAGGACAGAGAAACAGAGAAAGCAGCCGGCAGGAGCAAGGAAATCATAGGAGAAAGAGAAACAGTGAGAAGATCTGTACCTCTGAAACAAATAATACATTATATGTTTAAAAAAAGAAGAAGAAGAAGAAGAAGATAGCAGGAGGGGAAGAATGAAGGGGGGGGAAATCAGAGGGGGAGACGAATCATGAGAGACGATGGACTCTGAGAGACAAACTGAGGGTTCTAGAGGGGAGGGGGGTGGGAGGATGGGTTAGCCTGGTGGTGGGTATTGAGGAGGGCACGTTCTGCATGGAGCACTGGGTGTTATGCACAAACAATGAATCATGGAACACTACACCAAAAACTAATGATGTAATGTATGGGGATTAACATAACATAATAATAAAAAAAAATTTAAAAAAAAAAAGGAAATGACATCTTGAGGGGAAAGGGTATGTACTAAGCCAGAGTCAGACCAAATGGCAAGAGAACTGGCTCAGGTAAGAAGTGCCCTACGTGTCACCTCTCCCGGTCTCCCCAGTCCCAGGGGACCTGGTCGGGGTGCAAGAGCAGCTCTCAAGATGGAAGGTGGGGGGGGGTGGCGACTAGAACCATGAGGTGGAGAAATGGAAACATCACTGCCCCTTACCCTGAAGCCCGCCCCAGCTCGGGGAAGTGAGCATGGAGCGAGAGAAAGGGAGATTTCACAGTAAATTAAGGTTAAGGCTTTTAGTATGACACAGGACTGGATTCTCTAATTTTTGCATCTGGACAGTGTTTGTGACTTCGTGGACATAGATCATCTGTCACCAAAGAATGAGCAGTAAATTATGGGCTGCTAGAGTATTTACGCAGGAGCAGGAAAGATGATCTCAGAGACTAAATTGTAAAAAGGACAGTGGGAGAAACACAGTTGCATTTTTACTGAACTGTGAGGTGTGCTTTTTCAATATGCTGGTTACACTTGTTTTCAAAAGATACAAGATCTAAATCTTTGATGAGCAAAACCAT